GGCAGCAGAGATAAACAGGTCTTAAATACATTAGAAAATCATGGTCTAATGTGAATCTTTTATCCATGGCCACAAAAGTGTGCCACATGTCCATTTACTGAATCCTGAAAACTATATTTACCTCCACTGATTAAATTTACCTTCACATATTAAATCAGGAGTAATGAAAAATATCAAAAATGCTGAAGGATTCTCTTGTATTTAAAATCAAACTTTCGCAAAGTCAGCAATACTAAAATGAAAGAAGAAATTTTTACTTTATAGGACTACAAATAAGGTCATTAATAACTGATAAACATTGTGAAGAACTGTTAAACCCACTGGAAAAAGCAGTCTGGCAGTCTTTTGAAAATGTATGTTGCAATTTTCTTGGAAACCATACAGCAGAAAACTATCATGATGAAGTGGCTGATCTTCTGCATTCTTATAAAGCTATGGAATGTAACATGCCTTGGAAAATTCACTTCTTGGACTCTCACTTAGACTTCCCGTAAAATCTTGGGGCTGTCAGCAACAAGCACAGGTATTTTTATGAGCAAATTTCTACAATGGAAAACAGGAACCAAGGCAAGTGGAGATATAATATGCTAGCTGACTACTGTTGGACCAAGATGAGAGATATTCCAGATGCAAAATATGTTCAAAAATCACAATCTAACACTTTCTAAGTAAGCCAGAATGAGTAATTAACACTTAGTGTTAGACGCTAGTTATTGATTTTATTACAAATTATAAAAAATTCAAATGAACATCACACAACACAACTGCCTGATTGGGAAAAACTGCAATGATATTTGAATTCAGCATGTAAAATACATTTGGATTTTGTTATTTTCATTCTTGTGAATGAAAAAGTTTTTTTTTATAGACCAGTGTTTTGGACTCTAGTATTTATTTAAGTAATTTACAAGCAGCAGTATTTACATCTGATACAGCGCATATCAGAGCATATATAATTATTATAATTATCATTTTACATTTAACCTATCAATATTTCATATATTTATCATATATCAATATCACAATCAACGACTGGAAATCAACTGGAAGGTAGTATGTTCCAGATATCAACAACTTGTTTTCCCATGCATTAGCTTATGCCTAGATTTCATAAGTTTCATACTATGACCTCGTAATTGTGAGTTTTCAGATTGCTGGAAGATGCTGCTAAGGTCTAAGTTGTAATGCCTGGGCAGGATCTTGAAAGTTTCAATTACATCAATATGTTATCTTCGTTAGTTAATGTTAATAGTTATGAAAATGTTATGTCATTAGTTGCCAAACGTAAGTCATGGTTCTGAGGTCTGTACTCAATACTCGTGGCTCTCTTTTGTACATTTTCCAACAGGTTTGTATCTTTAAGAAGTGACGGATTCCAAATCACAGTACCAAATTCAATTATTGGGAGAATACATTGCTTCTTATAATGTTGAAGGCTTTACGGAGTATGAATATAGCCTTGTTAGCCTTTTTTGCTATGTGACACATGATTTTCCCACTTGAGATTTTTACTGTTTATGATCCCTAAAACCTTCATGACTTGTTTTGCCGAATTCTTTCGGCTTATTTGGTAATTTCAATTGGGATTGGATCTTCCAATATGCCTGGCCATACGTTTCATTCAAAGGTAGCATCCAAAATCTCTACCATTCACAAACTCAATCAAAGTTGTCTCCAAGTGGAAGAAGATTCACCAGTGGGTTGGAATATAATTTACTATCATCTGCATACATCTTGAAGTGGGAATGCATACTGTCAAGCAAGTCACTAGTATACAAGATGAATAAAATCGGACCCAATACTGAGCCCTGGGGAACTCTAGCTGGCAATTCCCTTCATTGACAGACTTGTTTCCTCCACTTCGCACAAAAAAACTATGATTCTACAGAAAGGACTGCATTCAAAACAAAAAAATTCCTCTTATGCCAAAGTGGGCAAGTTTGTGGAGCAACTTCAATGTGGTACCTTGTCAAAAGTTTTGCAGAAGTCCAAGTACGTGAAATTTGTTCCAACAAAATGAGTTTGGCTGCTTCACAAAGGCTAGTCCAACCCTGTGAAGAGCCATAAACCCTAGGAAATGCGGAAATGCTACCTGGCAGTCCTCATGACAACTGACTGCAACGAGATTTGACATAATTTGCCAAATTTGTGGGCAATCAGTCTGTGTTCAAATGTGTTTGTGGTACATGGAAACACACATACAGACTTTCAAATAAAAGCCAAATACTTAATACAAACAGTAAGTTGATGCCAAACAATGATACAATGTTATCACTAAATAAATCATAATTTCCCTCCACATCTTCAGTATTACATTTTACTTTCTTAATCATATTAAGAGAATTGCCTAAAGAGAAGTTTTGTTTGCCCACTCCACCGCACCCACCCTGCGCACCACGAAAAAATTTCGGCATGTGAGCCACCTTCCTCCCCGCCAAAATTCTTAAATGGGAAAAACCAGGAACAGGAAAGTTGCTGCAGCTTAGGACCTGAAGCTCACCTCCTCCCCCGCTGTCTTTACGTGCCAGCCACTGTTGTCTTGAAAGGAGGCAAAGACACTCAGTTGCCAAATTGCCAAAACAAGATCAGATGCCCCAAACATGGGTTGCAAAAGACCCATTATTTCTTGGATTCAAGAGAATCGCAGTGAAGAGACAGGTCTTTTTATCCAAGCATATATTGTAGCATAGTTCTTGCTTTTGAAAGTAGAAGTGCATAACCTCTGAATCTATTAATTCCCCAAAATTAACTAGTGGTGCTACAAACATTAGATAACATTTTAACATTACAACTTCTATCATATTAACACTTTAGCTATAACTTGACACTTATAATCAAAAGAAGCACAAGAAGATTGAACAAAAGATTGATCTTTTGAAAATTCAAAAGTGTAAATCAAAATAGCTAATACTGAATTGAGTGTTTTCTGCTCTCTCATATTTTTTACATATGTTACCACTGAACTGACTCATCCTGTATAATTGATACTTTATATATTTTAACACAACACAATTCCATCCATCTCTAATTAATCCATCTCTTATTTAATTTGTGTGATTAAATAACTGAAGAGTCTCGAAATTTCTATTTCTGTGATGGTGTTCAAAGTCTTGCCTCATCTAATTAATTGCCTGTTTCACTAATAAATTGAAGATTGTAGAAACATGTTCACATATCAACTCCTACATATACACAATAGTAAACCACCTCTCCCTGCGTTGTTTGCTGCTTTCATAAAGAAAACAAGATAAGTAGTAATGAAAATTGAAGCGATGACCATTCACTGTTAAAGACTGGAAGCAACTCTTTCTATTGTGATTTATCAAAATATGAGGATCCGGTCTAGTTAATGATATAAAAACTTCCAAGAAATCTCCCATAGTAATCCAAATAGCTAATGAGTTCTCACAATAACACACATTACTAAGCATTATTTTATTTTAAGCGCAAGCAAATTTGGATATCTCCATAAATGAAGTAAATTAATACACAATAATTATATCAAATTAATTTCAACTAAAGTATTAAAATGTAGTAATAAGAAAATAGATTACTTTTTAATAAAAATGTGACAAAATATTACCAAGTGTTCCTAGACACTTTTAAGTGCTTTAAATGAGAAAAATAAATCTTAATGATACGTCCATGTACAAGATAATGATATTAAATAAATTAAATAAAGTGATGTAAATTAGCTGTAAAGTGATGTAAGCTTTTACTTCATGGATTTTTTTTAATAATGCACCCAAATGACAAAGCACCCAAAGTATGAAATAATTACATGCATTCCATTGTTGGAATAGTATACCTGTAATCCTAAAGAGAAGTCTCTGTTGGCTACAGTACTATCAAATAGGAAGGTCTCCATTTAAAAATTGTAAAAATTATTAAACAGTAGGATAATATAAATGGAGAAAGATAATATAAATTGATTAAGAACTTTAGTCATCTAGTCATTAATGAGCAGTTTCTTAACCCCTCAAAGATGTGCGACATGTCACCCTGAGAAGGAACCCCCCCTTAGCGTGTGTGACTACATCGACAGTTCTCTAACAGATTCCGAAGAAATGGCCAAATCCGAAGTTTGGGCTCGCATTGCTAGATAGGACGACAATACACATCTTTAGCTCTATGCTGGTGTGTTGCTGGTGGTACGCTCATTCTTTCTCTTGCTCTTAACATGATTATGTTTGACGAGATGCACGTGGAATTTTGTGGTTAGAGTTGTGTTGTGTTCTGTAGCTGTGTGTTCCCTAAAAGATAATGAAATTGAAGAGCTATTGTTAAAGAGTGATAGTGATGAAAGTGAAGTAAATGACTTTATTGTTTATTCTAGTGATTCTTCTGATGAAGAAAATGAAAGTGATTCTCAGCGGAGGGAAACATATGACACTTTCAAACTGCAGGCATTTCCGTGTAAGGTTCTCAAACCACACTTATTCCTGACAATGCTACGCTTGTAGATTATTTTGAGTTATTTTTAACAATAAAATCATTGATTTGATAGTTGAGCATACTAACATTTATGCTGATCAATTTCTTAAGAAAAAATCGAGTAGAATAGAACATTACGTGTGCCGCAGAAAAGGCAGGCTGAAAGGGGAGACAGACCAGAAAGGTGCCCTGCCTGAAGGGTTAACTATCCTTACTCCAATTTTTCATTTCTGTCAATGTTGAGGTGGAATATATTACGACCTCTCAATATATTAAAACGATATACATTCATACATTCCATGGATAAGCTGTTCTATATTTTATTACTAGTCTGGACTATGAGCAACTCAAAAGTATCATCTCTTAAAATTTAGCATAAAAACTGGTAAAATTGAAAAATAATGCAAAGTCCTAGACCAATATTTAAAAAAGAGATTTCAAGTTTAAAAGTATGACAATCAAATAAATTCTCAAACTATAATCAGTAATCTTTGCTATTTACCACAACAATTTTATTTTCCTTATACTCAAATCTTCTCATGAAAATATTAAAACATGTAACATACCATTTTTCTCATGAATTTGCACCAGGGACTTGAAAGACTGCTGAGCTCGTGCCAAACTGTACTGGCTCTGTAAGAACAATAATTGTGTAAGAAAATCCTTTAATACATTAAATACTGCACATCAAGTGTGTATGTGGTTTAAAACAGTCTTAGGAATTACTTTTAATGCACAAAAGCAAATTACAAAATTATTTTACATTGAAACAAATACATATGAGGCACTGCCAAACCAATATGAATCACTCAACTGCTTCGTTAAATAATCTGGATAGTGGAATTCACTTCTTTAGGGCCATGAAAGCATAACACAATCAAAATATTTTAAGAAATGTGTAATTTCTAAGACTGTATTGAATACAATAAGTGGAATAAAATCATCAAAAGGAATGAAGAACTGCTGTTTTTTTGACAGCAGGTGAGGTAACGTGCCTTGTCACGCACCTTGGCAGCCCCAAACTGGATGCGTGCCTTGCCCTTCACAAGAGTGGCTGCAATCTGCATTATTACAGCTTCAACAGTGTAAGCCGAGCTCCAGCCCTGTTTGGTGAGTAATTCCATACAGATGGCACCTCCAACTAACACATAGCCACCTGATATTATGGGATGAACCACACGTACAAATGGTGGTTCAAAAGGATAGGTTTCCTGTGCACATAACATAAAATTAAAAATTCTAAGAAATTTGAATGCCTCTTCCAAAATACACTACAGAGAAAATATTTAAAAAATAGGAAGGTAGGTAATCACCTTAAAAGTCATATTGAGAAGAATGCTGTCTTTGCCTTCCTTCTCTTTGAGCAGAACTAGGTCATTATGCAATGGTGAATCAGGATCCACGCTCATGAGGCGTATATTCCATTCATATAAACTATCGTTTACTAGTTCAATGCTGTACATGCCTGTAATTCAGAAACAAAGCAAAATTATTTTTATTATAAAATATATTTTAGAGGCAAACAGGATTAATATACATAAGCACATTATTTACAAAAAAAGTCACACACCTTTTTTGAAACTATCAGACCGATAAATATCTCTTAATTCCTTCATTAGACGATCAGTGGCTTGGACAGATCCAGAAACAGAGCCTTTCAAATAGTCTTGTCTCTGGTTTTGACGAAGTCTTTCCAATGTTGCCAAATGCTCAGTATCCATTTCATCAGTCTAAAATATAAATGCAAACTGTATAATAAAACTAAAGCATCAAAGGCTTTTGCTCAAATGATTATCTTTTCTGAAAAGGATTTGTAAGTCAATGCATAAATAAAAAATTGGGATGTAACTTGAATATGACTGCCTATATGACTGCCTATTGAATGACTGCCTATGATACAAAACCAGAAAATGAATATCAAACATTTATTTCATAATTAAAATTTTCTTTATTTTTCCTTTTAGAAGAGTTGGATAATCTTACAAAAAACAAAACAGAAGGAAAATACAATGAAAAATAATTAACAAAACTAAAATAGGAAGAGAAAACTTAAAATTGGAAGTAAAAATTTTGCACAAAGCAAGTGACAAAAGCCGTATGTAGATACCACAAGAAAAAAACTGTTTAAAGATGAAAATGATTGTATTTATACAAACTTGCTCACGCGAATCAAATTTATTTGCCAATCCGATTTTCTCAGTAAACAATACATCACACTCCTTTTATTTAACCCAAAACTATTTTTATTACAGAGAACAACAAAAATGTACATATATATACTAACTTTGTTCTTGGATACATTTTCTCCTTCGTCCATTTCAAGATGCAGATCTTCTTCGCCCTCCTCTTCTTCTTCATCATCGTCATCTTCCATGTCTCGTTCTTCCTCTAAACGTTCAGGTAGGCGATAACAACCAGGTGGACTTGGCATAGTGAGCAAAGCAATGTCTGCTGGTTCTGGGATACAATGAAGGCGACATAGCTCCCTCAATAATATGCTCACCTGATTCAACACCTACAGAAAAAATACATTTTGTGCAGGTTAGAATTGTAAATAACACAAAATAATGAAAGCAATACCACTTGCTTTGTCCTAGGCAGAGATCAGCCAAAAGATACATAAACAAAGTACTTTTTCAGAGGACATCAATATTAAGAGCTCAAGGATTTTCCAAATTAACCAAAAACTTTTCTTTTGAGTTGGTTCAATTGCCATTGAATCTTGTTCTTTTCACTTTAAATCTCCCCACCTAGAATTACTCCAAAAAGATATTTGACAAATTTCTTAAAACAGCATCAATATCCATTTCTCACTATGAATACTTATAGTGCTCCCTTATTATAATACTAATTTCTCTGGCCCTCTTTACACTTCAGATGTACACTGAGTTTAGGTTGAATCTTTTTGTCAAAAGTATGAGGAATCAGAATTATTTTCATTTATTACTCAACCTTAACTCAAGACACTTTCTAACAAATATTCCATCAATGTATTTTAACCCTCAATGCAGGGAAAAAAATCAATGAAATTTCGATTAGATGATATAATGGATGAGTTCAAAAGCAATCTTCCTCATTGTATCACTACTAACTTAAGTAGTACATTTAAACTTCAAATTTAACTTCAAAACCCAACATACAAACTGCATTGGCAATACTTGTTTAATAACTAATATTAAATTTTGATTTTTCAACATTTATTTCTGAATGGTTAATTAAATGTTCGGGTAACATAGAAATAAATTCCAAAGTAATTGCAACAGACTACAACTGATCCATATACAATAAACATTAACCAACGTAAGTTCCATCAATTACTATGTAACAATCGCACAAAGAAATAATTCATTTAATATAAACTCAAATACTATTGAAATTGCAAGATTGTAATCAATATAAATGGAGCACTAAGAGAAATAATAAGATAGTTCATAAATAAAAAGATGGAACATACAAAAATAAATCCCAAACAATGAAGATGATGGGAAGTTATAAGAAAAGAGAGGAAGAGAAGAGTCAATCTTTGATAATTCTGGTGCCTCTGATAAGAATAATTACCCTCCAAAGCTAATTATCCCATTAGCCATATAAAATAATAGTGTGCATCTAAAATGTGCAACAAACAATTGTATTAAACTGTTATTCCCATAACACTTTTTTTGTCCTCCTTTTCCTTCTTCCCCTCCTTTTTAATTATGGAAATAAGAGCAAGCAATATTCTCACAACAAATCCCTATAGTCATAATTAAGTCACACCAAAATTAAAAATAATATTGACATCTGGAGGACTAATATCATCTCCATAAAAACCGGGCATTTGACAGCATACATTTTCAAACCCATCTTAATCATAAGAAAATATCACATTTTCACAGAAACTAATTAGTCACAGTAATTATTACAAGATAACTATAATCTTTTAAATACAATTAAAATAAACAACCATCTAAACAAATAAAATCACAATCATTAAATTTGTCAAAGTAATTTGTATGAATGAATATTAATTACATAGTATTTGAACGTGAATAATGTACTGAAGTACATTAGGCACAGAAGAAAATTTATACTTAGAAATTGGATATGATCTTTAAAATGTTCTATATAAGGGGTAAAATAATTTCTAAAATATATTGTCAATATATGATAAATCACTGCCTCTTAGAAGAAAAATTCATAACTTTTCCACTTTGCAGAATGAAATGAAACTATATTGCTTCACATAGAAGTACATCCATTCTAAAAAAAACTTCCAACTCTGACTGCAGTACTGCTCTTCCTAATCTGTTGAATTATGTAAGCTGACTCCCCAACTTTTCAAGTTTTTCTTGAACCTCAAATTACTCATACAGTAAACACACACAATGCAAATTAAATATCATTACTAATTTAATTCTTTCTACTGAAGTCTCTCATCAAGTGTTACTTACCATTGTGCAATTGAAATAAAAAACACAATCTTAAGCCTCAAAGCGTTGAAAGCAAAAATTGAAGTTGTAAACGAAGCACATTTTCAAACATTAAGCAAAAGCACTTTAAAAGTACTTAAACCACTAATAATCACATTGATAAAACAGGGCAGTTTTATCAATGGTACTTATGGTATTTTATCATGGTACTTAAAAATATGAAAAGAAACCTAATTTAATTGCTACAAGATCCACATAATTTTTTTCATAAACATTAATTCTATGACAATACCAACAATTTATTAATCACAGAGGAAAGATACACACTCTTCTGCTAACTTTTACCACTGGACATACAAGTGAACTAGAATACTCCACCACAGTTCACCATTTGATTAGAAAATGCACCCAAACAATACAGAAACAATTTGTTGTTGAAAAAATACATTTCACTTCAATCACTACAGTTCATCTAACATATGACACCCGACACTACCCTGAAATATCCTTTGAAATGCTTGATTGTGATACCTTGAAAGGCCCACTCTGATAAACCCACAATGACATTTACAGATCATGATATCTTTAATAAACAACTCTCAAATCTGTGCAATAATAATATAATTTGAAGCAAGCATATGTTACAAGCTAATGATCAAAATCAATAAAACAAAACCATATCAAGAAATATCTTTTAACATCTGCACCATAACCAATAATTACTCACAAGCTGTACTAAGCAGTATCCATTTTGTATTGAACTATTACCATGTTTACATCCACAATATACTTACGTGATTATCTCTGCCTGAAGTATTGCTGAGAATCTGAACAGCATTTGTTACGCTGGTTTCTTCAGATTCAGCAAACCACACTGGTGGTGTTGAAGGGTATGTTTCCTACAAATAAAAGCAAAGTGTAACAAGTACCTTTCAGAACACCTAACGTCATAACACAGATATGGACAACCAAAATCTTCCATTCTATTCGAGAGAAAACAACACTGAACGTGATTATCAAAATAAGCCTGCGAGAACGAAGAGTCAATCTCTTTGTTCCAGAACGGATGGCACAACAATGCAGTATATCACGACAGTCGTACAACATTCATACTACGCAGTAAGAAAATAACAACGGGATATTACAAGAAATTCAAATAAACTCACAGTAATGTTCGCATGAATTTCGTATTTCTTTCCATTTTTCCCCACGAATCTGCAGTTCAATTCGTCTACACTTGCTGACACTATCTGAAATCTCTCATGGTTTTTCGGAAAAACTGTCTCTAATGTCTTAATTTCTTGTTTTAATGTAACGAGGCAAGCCATTTGTAGTTTGCCCGCATAAATATTGCCACTTGTCGTAAGATAATATTTCAGCCACAAAATACAATTATTAGACACTGCTCACTCCCAAGTAAAATGGCGACTGCAACTCGTTCGGCATCTATCGGTAATTTCCGTATACGTGATCGTTCACATGTCGCTGCTCAGCGCTCTTGCAGCTGGGATGCACTGCCGCGAACGTCAAAGTTTCTTGCGGTGAAGAGTGGATTCCAGCTCGCCCTGCTCAATTTAGCCATCCCAATACTTAACAGAAACTAAACATACACTTGTAGAATAAATTGAACAAAATGGAGATTTGTATATTGTGCTATTGCTGGGGTTTTCTTGCTTCTTTTTTTAAAAAAAGTAAAGGCTCTGGCAAGCACAAATCATTGTTTTCTACTGAATCCATTTTGTTCCTTCTTTAAGTTCTCGTTTTATTCAGAAATAAAGTGAAAGTTCTTCCAGAGCCAAGTTCTACTTCCATTATGTGAGGAGATTTAGTTTCGTATTACACTGTATTTATCCATGATGTGAACACAGCAAAAATTTGTTGCTATGGTTACCATGCAAACAGTTGTCAAACTTGGAAAAAAATATTTTTTTACAGTGAGCTATCTTTCCCTTTGATAGATAACAGAATTTGACATGTTTAAGTGATGATGTAAATGTAGTCTGGGAAACCAATAGGACTGTCAGCACATGCACAGTATCTAAAGCAAATATTATTGGTAATACTTAGTGGAACTGTGATTTTCTATGATCGTTTGCCAACAAATTTTTCAGTATGTGCTCTGACATGACTTTTTCAAGCATTAAAATTTCACATCAAATAAGAGAGTTTGTGAGTATTTTTTTTTTTTTTTTTTTTTTACAAATGATGATTTTAGAACTAATTAATTATAATGTTCTTAATGCAAATCAAATGAAGATTTAAAAATAAAGAACAAGGAATCTTCTGGAAACAGTGCTATTAGTTAAAAATTTTTAAGATATTCTAACTCAACAATTTAGGAATACCCTACAGGTCTCCAATATTAATGCAATGACCAAGAAGAAGTAATCAATTGTGGTTATTTTTGCATAAGACATAAATAAAATCAGTATTTTTGCGTAATCCTGTACAATAACCATAATTTCTAACGAAAATAACTTTCCAATGTCATTATTTCATGGTTATTTCTAATGATAATGAATATAAAAATATATATAAATAGCTTACTTGAGGATTACAAATGCTGTATTTTTTGAAGATATTAAAGTATGTGAGCAGTTGCTCAATTACGTTATTGTCTAATTTAATGTAATACATTTTGAAATAATTATTTCTCTATTTTATAAGTTATATTCCATCACTCATGTGTCAGTGACAAATTTTCACGTTTTATTGTTTCTCTACATAAAAGATTAATGTGAAAAATAAGTACTGACATTTCATTTCGAGTACTATATGTACTTGTTTCATGAGCCCTGTTTATGATTTTCATAACGACAGTTAGTTCTAAGAAATTGTGGAGGTTGTACGTACTTCTAACAGTATGTAGAATCAGGCATGGGGAGGGAAACAAGGGAAATCCCACCCCCCACCCCCTACACTTAAATTTTTCTGTAACTATTAATTTTAACTTGTCACAAAACTTTCTTGTCACAAAACTTTCAAGCAAACATATTTTCGGATATCATTGAAACAAATAAAATCATATCACAACATGAACAGCATGTAGTATGCGACATTTAAAAAAATCTGTAATTACACATTCAAACAAAAGAAAAATCAAAAAAATTTATCTCCCAACATTTATCTCTGGATCTGCCCCTGGTAGAATACATTACTTAGGACTGAGTCAGTGTTACATGTTAAATAAACCAGAAACTGATGATAATGACAATGTTAATGATGATAATAATAAGAAGAAGACTATATTATATATTTATATTTATTATCTTTATGTCTAATGACCAATGCATACAGAAATTGAAAGAAAGAAAATGCAGCCTCTGACCATAGGTTGTTCAGGTATCTATGGTATTTTTAGATAGCAAGGAACTGAAGAAAAATACGAAAACAATGAAAAAGTTTTGATTTTCACTCAAAATTTGGGTTTCTCCTTTTACCTCATACTGCAACAACCTGTTATCTCAGACTACTGAATTTTCATACTCAGTGCATCACAGCTTATAACATAGTTGATATCATGGGACACCAAGACTCCAAAGTTTTTAAATTTTGCTATTAAAACTGAGTTATGGAATAACATTTTTTTGATATTCGTGATATCTAAAGAATTGTTACTGTGTATATATACTACCAAGGCCATCAATAAGGGGGGGGGGGAGAACCCTGACATTTGTTAGAGGCTTCTTGGAAAAATATCCCTCTTCATATTTTCCTTCTGTACTAAACAAATCAATATTTGTGATTATTTAAAAAAGTGGGTGGATGGGGGTGGGGTGTCACAAAAGTTTTTCTAGGGACCCATGAAATCTCTGAGTGACATTCATACAATACTATGTTATTACAATATACACACAGTTCACATATCCCAGGAATACAAGAATATTCTTGGGATATGTGAACTGTGTGTCATATATGATTGTGATTCCTTCTAGTGTCAAATTTGGTGAGAATTGTTATTTTAAGAGTGGGTTGCGGAAGGGCATTGTGATTATTTTGTCTATGTTTATGAGTTGTTTTAATATGCTTGGAGCATCTATTAAATTAGTTTGTCTTGTAGAACTATTTTTCTTTTGTAAATTATTATTTGTATCATGTGCCACTGTTATACTGTTTTCCATTAGTGATGGATGGCCATTCACAAATATAATAAAATCTACTTTTACCTGTGACAGTTGTCTGAAGACACAATAAGTATTGTGAAATATATAACTTACAGTTTATATATCACAGAAATATTTTTTCCATCAATATTACTAATTAACTTATAGCTGAACATGGTAAATTCTCATCACGTTGAAATTTGTTATTGTACCTTTTATCATCCCTATTACTTTTTTTTTATTTCAAATTTAGCTTTTTCTCATTGAATGTTCTTTTCAAATTACAACATAACTATGTATATTCATTGAATCTCTTTATTTATGATTTGGTTTCTTAAAATGCTGTTATCCATAAAGAAATATTATTTCATTTCTTGTATCAAAAACAGTACTAGCCTGTATGAGGGGGGAAAGGTGCATTTCACTAGAGTAGAGAATAAGTATCTGTAGGTACTAAATAACAGAACAATAAATGTATGTTTGAGTATATTCTTTTAATTGTGGCAAAAACTGTATATTTTATTATTGTGTGTCCAAAATATCAGGAATCTTTCCTTGCAACTTATTGTGGCCATCTATGAGCCCAGTACTCATTAAATACATTTTAGAATTAAAATGGAGGTATCTCATTTTGCATGACAAGAGTACAGGAAGATCTTGCCACAATCTATAGAATATACTTTAAGGTACTGTGATGTAATAGAAAAACTCTTGTCCAATTATGTAACCTACAATCCAGACACATTATTTTGATGATCATTGTTATCATTCTAAGGCCAACATTGCATTTGCTCAGTTTTGAGTTAAAAGCTTCAGAGGAGTGTTCCTCTTGAGATTGGATTGTATGGTGATTCCAAGAAATTTTGTTTTCTGTGCTTCTGTTGCCTTCTAGAGTCAAATTAGGTGAAAATTATTGGGTTAAATGGGAGTGATGGTAGGGGGTGTGATAATTTTGCCTGTTTTTTATTAGTTTTGGCAAGTTTATTGAATTAGTTTCTCAATGGCTGGGTTGACTTTGTTTTGTGAACTTTTTTTTTTTTTTTTTTTTTTTTTTTTTTTTTTTTTTTTTTTTTTTAATATTATGTTAGCATCATCAGCAAAATTCTAGTTTCATTGTTTCTATTATTTATGGGAAGTCATTCTCATATGTAAGAAATATTTAGGGGCTTCGTTGGATCCCTGTGAGACCCCATATGCCATTGTTCTTTGTTTAAAGGGATGATATTTTTATTTTGATATCTTTTGGTAACAACAATTTACTTTCTGTCTGATAGATATGATTTGATACAATTGTAGGTAGTTCTTTAAATTTCATAATTATGACAATAGAATTCTAACATCTATAGTATTGAAGGCTTTTCACAGATCATGGAAGAGACCAACAGATTCCACGTACCAACTACTCATTTTTTCGAAAAATTGTACATGACTTTATTGTAAGATTTGTGTTAAAAAAATAATTTCATTCAGGGAAAAAAATATCTTATCTTCAATATTATCGTTGTAGGAAGATGCAAAATTTGAACATGCAATTTTCGATTAATCAGATATTTTAACTAAAATGAGTCCTTTACCGTTTTCTTAAGCGTCTTTTATGCTATCCGAGGATACAGATTGATCACAAAGTTTGAGCCATTTTTGATAAAATTTGAAATGTTCACGTAAATAACTCTAAAAAATCAAAGCTCCCTGTTAAAACGTCTAAAGCCTTGAGATGGTTTAGATAATCGGGGAATATCAAATTTGGAGAAAATCAGCTGAACAAGTCTAAAATGTTCATAGCGGTAGCGTTGATTACACATAGATAGACACACAGACATGCTTTAAATCGATTTGTCGATATGAAGAACCCCAAAACATGGATTCTGACTACAGAGCGTGCAGGGACTGATCCAGAGACGAATTTTGGGAAGGGAAATGTTTTTATGCAAAATGTTTTGGTCGAATGTGTCATATTACAGATTATGTATAATGACGCAAGCTGAACTCGGCTCATGTTGCGATACTACAATTTTATTCGTTTAAATGTTTATATGAAAATAGTTTTGCTTGAAAATCTCGTGTCAAGTTAAAATGAATAGTTACTGAAAAAATTTGGGAGGGGAAATGTCCTCCATTTCCCTCCCCGTGGATCCGTACCAACAACGTGTTGGACGGGGTTACAAAAGGTTCCCCTGTGCAAATGCAGAGAGACCGATGTGGTCCAAGGGGGAGATGAAAGTGGGGCTCCACCTTGTATTCGTCGCCTTCGGCACAAGGAGGAAGTTGTGAGGCGAGCAGAGCGCTCCGACAGCCTTCACCCCAGGAAATAACCTCGCACTCACTGGGAAAGGAGGCAGAATCGACCGCAGTGCTGCCCTGAATGGAAATCACCAGATAAGAATCCCAACCAATGTCGGGATTCCGACATGGGTCCTTCAACCCACTGAGCCACCCCGACACCACACAACTTGTTAGAGGAAGTAATTAAATATTTATATGAACAATAATCATTCACCTTTGGCATGGCATGGCATGGGCGTGGCAATAAGTTTTTCTGACGAAAATTCGCCGCATTCAGGCGCTCTATTACAATACTTTCTCTCCGACGTAAAGGCGTGAAAGTAAAAATTAATGAGTTCCAAAGGTCACATTAATTTTAAATCTTTATTTAGTATATAGACACAAATCCTCATATTTGTGTCGCAAATAAAACGAGCAAAATCTGAAAATTGCTACTTTTTGGTTGATAATTTTAGGTGTCCCTCAATCTCTCTTGCTGCTCCGCGAGAAGTGGTTCGGGGCATTAACTGATGTCACTGCAGTGCCTCTGACCGAGAGGTCGTAGATTCGAGTTCCGACGATGGCAGGATTTGCGGCACTAGCTTGTCAAGCAACTAGATTGAATTCAGTCGCTGTCTGGAGTACAATTCCAGCGGCCAGCTGCTCTAATCTGTAGTTTTCCGTGTTTTTTTAAAATTTTTTTTATCGATCCCAGGCAAATGCTGGAGCAGTACCCTAACAACCGGGCGCGATCTTTCCTTCCCCTTGCTTGTCCTATCCACATCCCTTACTTACACACACACTAACATGTACTACACTACCACACATGCCGCGCGAGCGGTCGGGAGTTTACAGCTAGTCCCGGCTGGGGCGGTGGCTCGCTGGTGGGAGATACTTGGTTTGAGAAACGAGGGTAGGTTGGCGCCGAATCTCGTCATCCAGTTGGAGAAGATAACATTCATCTCTCGAGGAACAAACATACACTAAACTTACGGGACTAAAGACCCTATAAATTGACATGATCGGAATCACGAACAATCAATCAATCTCTTGCTGCTATAAAAATTTGACCCACAGCCGAAAAATATTGAAGAATCCTGTGGTAAATGAAGCTTTAAAGAAGGAAGTGCCACTAAGTTGAAGTTGATCCACTTGTTTCAGAGGGAAACAAACTCCATTTGAACAATATTCACCCAAAGATGGATTAATCTCATTATGCACTACACTGCTGTAAAAGCTAATATGATTATTTTATGAAAACATGCAATTTATGATATGCACTATTAAAGTTAAAATGTATATTTCTCTTAAAATAAGACAATTGTTACTTACCTTTTCCAGTTAAATGGTGAAAATTGTCCAGTTATGCTGTTAGCGAATTTCTTATTCTATGACAGTTTATAACTGAAGTTTCCCTTTGTCTAAAATTATGATTACAGTGTATCCTATATAAATCACTGTAAAAAAATATAGTAACATTCAATTGTTTCTTACTTTAAAGGAGGAGAAGAATGCTATTGAAAAGAAAAGACACATATTGAGCTTAATATCAGGTTATCTTAAAGATGAAGGGTAAGTAATCGTCAATTATCTTGATAAAAAGTACAATGCTTTCTGTATTTCTCACATTAAAGTGTGTATTATTTGTATTTTAGTTTGTTTCAAACAGCCAAGTGTTTGAGTATAGAAGCTAGTGTTGTAAACAGTTATGAAGTATGTGACAATATTGACCTACCAACAATACTCAGAGAATATGAATCTTACTATTATGCACGTTTTCAAAAGTATCCAAAGATCTGCAAGAAGGTGGAATTTTCTGTTAAAGAAAAGGATGTAAATATCTCAAGAAAGAAAAATGGCAGAAAAATCACATCAAGGGAAGCTACAGATTGTATAGTAAACAATGTAAAAGATTCTCAAGGAAATAAAAACTTAACTTACGAAGTCAAGGAAGTTAAAAGTGTTCATGATGAATTAAGTGCAGGTTTGACTGTTCAACCAGTTAATTTAAATAATACACCCAAAGTTAAAACGTCAAATGAATGTGAAGATTTTGAAGAGAACGGAAAATTTCTAAAGCCACTGGATGGAATAAATGGCTTTTGTAGCGAGTGGAAAGAATTTGCTGAATGTATTTCTAAGGTGAATATCGTAATTGTACTTAAATGAAGTAGTAATCTGATGATGAAAGCACTGGTTTCATGTAAAATATTTTTACTTAAAGGAAATTTGTGTAAGGAATCCTAATGTTCAATGGAATGATATAATAGGATTGCAAGAAGCGAAAAAGCTGCTTAAAGAAGCTGTAGTTTATCCCATAAAATATCCTGAACTTTTTTCTGGTATTTTAGCACCATGGAAAGGTTTATTACTCTATGGGCCACCTGGCACAGGTAAGATTAACACATTTTTACATTTTCATATCATTTGAAACAAGCACAAATTAACATTGACATTTTAAGAATCCAAAGGAAATGGGAAAAGACAACCTCATATATCTATCTAATTTTAATGATTCAATATGTGTTGCATCTTGCATTTCTTATTTATGTATATGTTTTATTTATGTTTGTTGTACAGGGAAGACACTGTTGGCAAAAGCAGTGGCTACAAAATGCAAAACAACATTTTTCAATATTTCTGCTAGTTCCATTGTGAGCAAATGGAGAGGAGATTCAGAAAAACTCGTGCGGGTAGACAAAATGTTCCATACTTTTGTTAAGAAATATGCATGTTGAAAAAATCAGTCAAATTGTGCATTGCATACTTGGAAGTCAACATTGCTAAGCAATTTTCTCATTTATTGCTATTAAGCAAATTCATTTCTTCTTTCCTTTAACATATATATTTTATTATTTATTTTAATGTAATTTTCCTTGAGAGACTTCAAAAAAAGTTTAAATCTTAATTCTCCACTTTCGCAGAACTTTAAGTCCAGTACATGTATTTTCCTTTAATGAGGTCTTTTCAAATTAAATTATTTTTGTTTTCATTTAATAGTTATGCACATGCAACTAAATTTGCACAATAAGATAACGGTACGTAAGTTAGTAGCATGATTATGATGCTTGCAAATAGAATGCTGATTTGTTACAGGGCCGGCCATAAATTACGTAATGCTAAAGGGACCCCCCTCCGGGTGAGGCAACATTATGCTTTGTTTTTAGGGGGATGAGGGGGTATTAGTTTAGTGTTACATAACAGTGATTTCTTCTTTTACCTTTCGCAACATTTGTTGAAATAATACCTTTTTTTGAGTCTTATACTAAAACATTAATATAATCAAACATTAATATTAATAAATATTAAATAATTAATTTGTTTTAAGAACATAAATAAATTAAAGTTATTAGATGTAAATTGTTACAATATATCAAAGTATTATTTCATAAACTTTTTAGAAAGTGTAATATTGTGAAGAAAATGTTCAAAACTGATATGTAATATATTCTAGAAACCATTTAAATTGGTGACGTAGTCTCTTGCTTATTCATCATTCATGACAGCATATGTATGACAGTATAAAAACTTTTGTCACTTATGTGTCCCTCCTTCACTCACAACTTGCCCTCAATCTTATTGTTAGGTGCAATCCATACTGCCAATTAATTCAGACTTCAATTATCATAAATTTAATGTAAAATGAACCCAAATTGTTTTTACTTTGCTGTAATTTATTTTCTCATCTTGCATTTACAGAAGGGGAGGTTGTTGCAAGCATTACATTATTGGATTTGGAGAACACACTCCCCCCCGTTCCAGCATGTATTATGAGTGCATTACACGGGGGAGAGGTGGTATTCAAAATACTACGAATTTGCTTTACATAATTTCTGGATACCCCTACTGATCTCTGCAGAACCAACATTTTTAATTTTATGGGGGTCTGCATTATTGATATTCTAATTGTGAATATCTTAATAATTAATATTTTTCTTCACAGAACTTTTCCATTATTACATATTAGTTATTAATGAAGAAAATTGTAATGAATAATTATGAGAGATGTGTCTCAGCTGAAATGACACTGTGTCACTAAAGGAATTCCCTAAAAGGAAAGAATATTGGTATTAGTTGGACATCATGGGACTTGTGCATAATCCCAACCTTTTATGGAAGATTACTGTGGTACATTATTCCAATACAATAATGATGCCACTACAGTAGTTTGCCTTTTAAGGGTTCCTTTATAGTTGCCTTAGCTAGATGCTACAAAGGAAGTTCATTGATTGAAAACATGCAGAATGTTTACAATATTTCACCTATAAAACAAAATATTTGGGACTTGTACAAAGTTGTATGGATGGATTAACCCAAGGCACCATTAGAAAACTATACCACCATGCTACAACTGTGGAATACTGAATCTGCATATGTGGGGCCAGGTAGTATAATGAAAAACAGCTGCTGAGCATGTAATTCAATTAACATTGCTTACACATCTTTATTTCTAATAATTTACTGTTCCTAATAATATTTGCACACTACATAGATTTTCATAACTGTCTGAGGTGGCTCAGTGCCTCTGACCGGGAAGTTTTGGGGCTTGAGTCCGACGGTGGTTAGTCATCTGGAGAATTCTAGCTGCTTTGATCGATAGTTTTCCGTGGTTTCTCCGTTTCATACTACCATGCGAATCCCAGAGCAGTGCTCTTCAAACGGACCACGGACGGCGCGCGATCTTTTTTTCGTTTTCTTTCTATCTTCTTGTTCTTCCTTGTCCTATCCTCTCTCCTCACTTTCATACACATTTACACTTACAAGCACTACACTACCACACATGTCGAAAGATCAGTCGAGAGCTTAGCTTAGAGCTTGTCCCGACTGTGGCGATGATAGCTGGAGGGGGAAATCTCCGCAAACCGACATGTAGGTCGGCGCCAGTTCTCGCCATCCAGCTGGGAAAGAACACCGCCACTTCCTGTGATAAAATACATGCACTAATCTTACGGGACTATTGACCATGGCAGTTGAAGCGCCCGGAAACTTTAAAGAATCAATAAATCAATCATAGCTCTTCAAGAACAATTCAACTTTTCCTTGAAAGATCATCACTGCAAACATACTGAAAAGAGGATGCCTTCAGGCAATGGCGGCTGGTACCTACCCTAATAAACTGGTGGTTGCGATAATATCAACGTATGCCACTGGCCAAAGCTGCTGAAATATGTGGCTCGACTGCTCGCGGTGGCCTGTTGCAGTGCTCATGTGCCACTCGCCTTGCACTAGATTAGAGCCGATTGCGCCTTCCTTGCTCTTCCGTCGGACTGATTCAATCATGAAAACTATAAGAAGGATTCTCAACTCTGTGGTGGCGGTAGTATGTATGAAATGCGCCGACAGCTAATCGACCAAACTTGAACGTTAGCAACATTACTGTCAATGGAAGAACCTTTTAAAAGTTTTTTTCTGGCCAATGGCCTCCTAGCTCTTGTCTCAAGCCATCACGCACTGAAATGTAATTTGTCACGTTCGTGTATGAATGCGAGTTGTTATTGGTCACAAGAAGTCGAGATCAGTTGCTTCTTTCACCGCCGAAGCAGTTTGGCCGTTTTGCCGACTTTTACCTCCACATATTTCCATCATGCCTCCAACACCGGAATTAAGTCTCCTTCTTGCAGCCTTCAAGGATTCATCAAAGTGCGGATCGGTGCCCGTCGGTGGCCTGCAAATAAGCGCTGAGCCAAGGCATGCCAAGTGGGCCGCGCAGAGGCGCATGTAAGTAAACAGGCGCCCATGGCAAACATAGAATTCGCGCCCCTATCAGGATACCTCAAATTAGGATTGCTGATTTTGCGGGAATACTCTGAATAGCACCCGTTGTGAATGGCGCCCATATCACTTGCCATGTCTGCCACAGCGTAGATACTCGTCTGAAGCCGCCATCTTGAGCAGCCCTTTCCTAGTATTTATTTATCGGCCAATGACCATGATAACGCCAACGTATTATATTAACCATCGAAAGTCACGCAGAAGAAATTGCCAATACAGCCTCATAGAGACCACAGAAACAAACACAATTAAGCAAAGACCTGCGGTCCAGTATGCTTCGCAGGTTCCAACGCAGCGCCACCCGCGCTCTTCGACAAATTATTTACTAATCCTTGCGGACCTGTTATATCCATACAGCTCGGAAAGCCTTATGGTAAAACTGTGACAGACGATTCCTCGATATGAAGTATCCACAATACATGGATTCTGACTAAAAAAACGTGTTAAGAGGTAGTTTTTTTTACAACATACAAGAATAACAATATCCACTTTTTCGTTATCAGGGTCCATCAGTAAAAAGTTTTTCTGCCAAAAAGTCGCCGTTTTGCAGCACAAGACTACAGTACTTCCCATTCTTACGAACTAAACGCAAGAAAGTAAAATCAACCTCCAAGACAATACTATTTCCTAGGGATATTTGCTTCATGCGACCACAAACGGATCCCCTGCATTTTCTCTCTCTCCGCCCTCAAGAGTCCAAATAGGCCTTTATTACTACTTCACGCCTCCACTCCGTTTTCTTAGATCGCCCCACCTCTAATTGATTTTTTTTAATTGCTCAGCGCGTACGGTTGTCCGCGTCCAAAAGCGCTTTATACATTATGTTCGCTCCCTTACAATATGCCTTCTTTGTTCTCACCCGTCCCTCATCAGTCTTCATGTCCACATTTCACTAAAAACTAGAGGTGCTGAAATAAGGCGTACTTTCTCCCCCCATCCTTTCACGCAAAATTACGTGAAAAGTACTCAAATTTTCAAAAAATTGTACACGACTTTATTTTAAAATCTATCTCTAAGGATCAGATTTCATTGATGCAGTTCTTCATAATTAGTTGTAGGAAGACGCCGAAAAAATTTGGAAATTTTGCAATTTTTGAAAATTTGAAGTTTTTAGCGAAAATGAGACCTGCCCCATTCTCTTGAACATCCTTCTCATACCCAACAAAAACAATTAATAAAAAACGACGGAGCCAATTTTAAAAAAAAATGAATATGTCCCGGGGACTTCATTTAAAGTACCCCCCTCCAAAAAAAATATCAGTTTCAAATTGAAGGGGCCGCGTCATCAACCAGATCGATTAGCAAATATCAGTTTTGGAGAAGACGCTAGCGACGGTTTAGACGCTAGCGTTGTTCACAGACGAACGGACATTTTGACGTCATTCGATTTTTCGGTACAACTCACAAAACATGGATTTGGGCTTCCCCACGCGTTAGGGGATTGTTTTTCTAAATTTAGCATAGGGATTTATCCGTTTTTCCTTTGCCACGGACCTGTATTAAAAAAGTTTCTAGCGAAAATTCGACGCTGTTTTGTGCAGCATTACATAACTTTCTCTCTACTGCGTAAGATCTAACGAGAAGGAAAAATCCAGAGAAGCCAATAAGAGTTCGCGGCCATGTGGGGCTTCAACGCACTGAAGGCACGGCAGCCACCGGCAAGTTCAAGTCTCATCTTCGACCTGGCATAGGCCGTCTCGGAGACGCCTTGAGCAAATCGAGTCATCTTCTAGAAAATTGCCTGATGAGTTTACTTATTGCGCACAAAACAATTAAAACTATGCAGTGTGTGATAGGTGGGGAAATATAAAAGGGCTGGCAAGAACCATTCTGTAACGAGTGAAGACATCTAATTTTTTCGTATTTAAAGAACAAATTACCTCACAGATGATCAGGTTATTCTAGCATGATCTGAGGATAATCTCCAGCCCCCCCCCCCCCCCAAAAAAAGGAAACATCAGAAACGCTTTCAAAATAGGGGCCTACTGAAGCATTAGCAACTAATCAAGTGCCAACCCTAAAATGTTCATGTTGTTCACAAGATTTATAATCACTATTTCCATTATTAGTTTTAATACCTTTCACAGCAAATTTAGTCTCAATGCTTCAGAAACTACTTTGACAAATTTCTTCTCTGCAATTCAATTGCCTATAAGAAAAAAAATAAATCACCACTTATATTATGGGTATAATAATTACACAAAGAAAACTTGTAAAACAATTTCATCACAAACTAGTGATCAAGGTTTCTGTTGTGCTGATTAATATTGTTAAATTAAAAGTAATATGTTATCTTCGTTTCATTAACAGGTATTATTTGAATTAGCACGATACCATGCACCTTCAACAATCTTCTTGGATGAAATTGACGCAGTGGCCTCACATAGGGATGGATCTGGTGAACATGAAGGTTCTAAGAGGCTTAAGGCAGAACTTCTCATACAGTTAGATGGCCTTTTACACAGTAATGATAAAGTGTTCCTTTTAGCAACCTCAAATTTGCCTTGGTGAGATATGATAATTTTTTTCACACTGGAATTACTTTATGCAGATTTCAAATTTGGAAGTAATTTATTGTTGATTCAATGAAAGGGGGGATACAATCATAAATTCTAGCTATAGAAAATCTGAACAATATTTACACCCTTTTAAATGGAGATGTTTCACAATAGCTTGTGTTCTATTTTAGGGAATTGGACACTGCAATTTTACGACGATTAGAAAAACGCATTCTTGTTGATTTACCATCACCTGATGCTCGAAAATGTATGTTCCAGCATTACCTTCCTCCAGTGACTCTGAACACTCCTAATCTTGAATGCGATTTGAATTACGATCATCTAGCCCAGGTAACGTGCTTCACACACACATTTTGTCACATGACTTTAAGCATTTTGATGCACTGAATTTTGAAGAGAAACTACTTTGTGTTGCAGTTTTGTAATACTTTTTCCTGCTATATTTACCTTAGCATCAATATTCCATTCCCTTCATGGAAATGTATGATAATTTGTAATTCTGCTGTTCACTAATAAAACAATGTTTTCTTCTTCAGAGACAGCACAAATGATAATACAAGTGTGCTTTCTACTTAAATGCATTTCGTTTTCCACTTACGCTCTTCAATTTTGAATGTTTACAATGTTTTGGAAAATTAATTTTCCAGACGTCTTTATGAAGTTTTCTTCCCCTTGTACCAAAACAACAAAAGACTAAAATATCTTGATCATGTTTCATCTTCTTTTAATGCACTACTTGTTTAGTATTCTTTCACGATTTTATTTCACTTTGCAGTAATTAACAAGGTTGTTTGTATTGAGCTTTTTTTGCTTCTCTGCTTTACAATTTTTTCCTGCAAAATTTCATAATGGGCATAAAATTTATTACATATTTTTAAATATTTTAACTAAATATACACAATGTTTTGATCCATTGATTTGGGGTCTGTAAATGTCATAAAAATAAGTTTATTCTTGCTGTGTTGTCATATAGACAATTCATTTTACATTTCAATTATTTAACAGTATTGTGAAGTAATACAATTTTATCTTTTTTTAGATCACTGAAGGATATTCTGGTTCTGATATAAAACTAGTTTGCAAAGAGACTGTAATGGAAGCAATGCGATCAGTCTTCTCAGTTCTTGAAAATTATGATGATGGTTAGTAGTTTTTCAGCATATAAAGTAAGAAAGCTTTTAATATGAGAAATATAATTAAAAGCTCAAGTTTAACTATACTGAATGTCACACTTGTATGTTTTATGGATAATTACAATATAAAGAGATTTATTTATCTAGCAATAATGTTTTTGTCTATTTTCAAGCAATTACATGGTATCAGGTTTTACATTGTTCTAATATTGTTATACATTTTCAAGTTCAACATATACCTCCCCTGCTCCCTAAAAAGTCAGTACCAACAAAGCATATTGTGTGAAGAGTTGTATTATTCAATGTTTAAGTTACTTTCATTTGAATCTGGCCACGGTCCAAGATGGTTCTTCCATTATGTTTTCATCCAATTGTCATTTGATACTTGGCACATTTTTGTCCAGTTGTCACTTTTTCTTTGTTAATTCCTTGCAGTTCTTTTTAGTACTACATGAAATTCAATTGTTTGGTGTAGGTATATATACAATGGGTTGCATGCTCCAAATCAATCTATCACAACCAGACAATATGAATATTGTGCTTCTTTACCCAGTGTTGAAAAATGTCTGGACGAAATGTTAGATGAAATTGACTCCATTGGACTGTTATTCTATCATGATTGCACAACAGATATATTGAACCAACTTACTAAGCACTGAAAGATCTATGGACTAACCTCGCTGAACGTTTAGTGTGATCATCAAGTGAAATCATTTTGTAAGAACATTCCTGAAAGCGTCTGGAACTACTAACTATACTGCTGAAAGCACATTTCATCTAACAACAGACCCTGTGTAGGGAGTAATCATCTGTGCTATACTTTATACGTGTTTTTGGGCCTGAAGTCTATACCCACAGAAGAGTCGCACTTGATGTCAGAGGAAAATTGAGTGACAGTTATGTACGTGTAAGATCCATTCAATTCTTGAACATCTCAACCAGATCTGCCCTTTGATGTCTATTTTCAAATGTAGGTCATTACAGCTGTGCAGGCTTTGTTTTGTATGACACATCCTGAATTTCCAACGGGTATTTTCTGTACTTTCACAAGGATGGTAATATCAGTAGTGCTTCCAGACTGGGCAAGTGCACTACAGAATTGGTAGTGATGAACATAAATTTATGTAATTGAAGAGTCTATCTCATCAGGAAAAGTATTTTGTTTACTTTCCTGGTATTAGCTGGCACAACTTCAGATTGCTGGTAACTGTCATGCCCAAGTCCGGATGAGAATTTGTTTGTTTTAGTTTAGAGATTTCCAATGGGATCTTTATTGGCCCCTGGGGGTCGATTGGGTGTCCATAACAGAACATAAACCAGTGATTGATGGGTGTAATCAAGATACCATTGATTACAAGCAATATTAAATGAGCTTGATAATTCATAGTTTTCTGATATAAAGCAACAAAACTGCACCACATCGCTATCCCAAAGTAAGAGGTCTTTAATAATGACTCTAGCGGACAGATAATTGCCGAAGAATAAAACATCACACTCAATGCTTATTTTCTCCATTGCTCTGACACATTCTTATATCCATTATATTTAAAACTCTCATGTTTAATCCTGATAGGGGGGATGCGTTTTGACTTTATGCACCAGTGCATTCAAGAACCTAGCTTCATTTTGGCGAATACATGCCATAACTTGACAATGAACATTTTAATAATAGAGTACTTGACCACCATGTCCAAATCGAGACATACAACAAATCCATACTTGCAAGAAAGTCTTATCTATTAGAACTTTTGCAGCATGTAGGGTAAAACGTGATTAACAATCATGTGACCAGTAGCATGTGAAGTGTAATACACTGCAATAGCGAAGTGTTGCCGGGTTTGCTAGTTGATCTGCTAATTATCTTTGATACATTTATGTGCAATTCTTTGTGTTATGTTTATGTATGCTGTATATTAGAGAGAATAATGTAAGAGGGTCGATGGAGTGAATCATTCTTTTAAAAAGAGGTCAATGAAAGAAAAAGTTTGGGAATCCCTGGTTTAGAGTTTCCATGAAAGTTTTGAGAAAATATTTATATATTTTTTTCTTTCTCAGATTCATAATACAGGCAATGCTGCAAAAATGTACGTAAATATTTTAACAAATACACATTTTGGAGGTCTTTGATTCTACAAAACTTTGTCTGAACAAAACTAGAACTGAGTATGATTCACATGATTTTTTTTAACCGCAATGGATATGCAAGAATCAATATTGTCTGGTGTCAAGACCTCTTGAATTTGAATATTTACATTTTCAAGTCTTTAAATTAATTCCCTACAATTGTGAAATTTTCCCCAAAAATGGATCCAAATTTTTTCCAAGAATAGCACAAGGAATGCTTACAAGAATGGCACATTCATTTTTATTGAACTCTCTCAATTTGCTAAATTGCAAATTTAGAAATAATGCAAGAAAGCATATGCCGTTGTGGCAACATTAGTTTGTTATCAAAACCCCCAAAATGTGAAATTTGACAACACTATGTTTACGAGAAAGTAATAAAAGAAAAAGACACAAATAACACTTTTTTGGTATCAGAGGTACACAAAACAAGCTTTTGTGTTAAAATACAAGCAGTTTTTCCTGCAACATTTACCTAACTCTATCACCATGGAGTATAGAAACAAGTTATAAACTACACTGATGTATGGTACTTACCCGACCATATTTGCAAGAGCATATGTATATACTGCTAATTAGTATTTATTCTTACATTTTCAGAGGCCAGCTTCCCGAAATTAGAACTGAAGAAAATTATTACAGATGATGTTGAACAAGCATTGAAAAGAACAAAACCATCAGCTGCACATGTTGAAATAAAATATAGAAAGTGGCAAAAAGAATTTGGTTCAGTATAGTTATTTATTAATAAAACTCTCTTATTATTTAGTTATAAATTGTTGCAAATGCTTGTAAGTTTCCAGTTATATTTCAAATAATTTGGCTTTGTAACACAAAGATATAGAAAATTAGAATGAAACAGAAGAATTATGGGTACTGCTGAGATCAGAGGCAAACTACAATATGAACAAAAGTTTGAACATACCCAACTGTGATATGAACAATCCTACAGTGATTATTTCGTTACTAGAAAACCTCTCAGTAGATCACGAATTTCTCTCTTAAAATAGCATAAACTGATAGTATATAAAAGTTACTTTTACATCTAATTTAAATGTATGAAACTAATAGTCTTTTCTAAAATGGTTTAAACAAAGTGAAAGATAAAAAAACATTTTAATTGTTTATCAATAAATTTCTTCCAAAGTTGAATTCACTTATTTAATACAGTGGAATCTTTAGTAGGTTGTTCATCGGATCAAACATTTTGAATAGTGTAGGCAGGAAAACAGGTTATTGCGAAATGCTCCAATTGTTTTTCCACATTTTCTCAGTCAGGACATTATAACACAGAATTAAACTACAGTTACTTGTAAGTGATCAGTGCATAAGTATGAGAATGTGGGTTACTCATTAGTAGCCCATAAACTTCTGTAATAGAACTATGAATAATCAACAAAACACTGTAAATTAACAGAAAAAATAAAACCTAGCTTCGTTAGTCTATGAAATTCAAAGAAATGCAGGGTAAGTAAACCAACATAACACAAAGAATGAAGATGGCAAAGGCAAATAAGAAGACGTTTTTCTAACCCTGAATTTGTAATCAAATCGATTGAAAATACACTATCTCTCATCTCCATCTGATAACCTCAAAAACCTGAAAACCACACAAGGCACTGGAAAAAACATGAATCAGAACATATTACAAACAAACATTTAAACATGCTAGGCAAGTTGTTAAATGTCTCAATCAGAAATTTGAGGATATTGTCTGGGACTTTAAAACACTATGTGCTATGTGGGAAAATGTGGAACATGATAACGAGATTCCACTGTATTCATGTAGCAGAAGTCCATGTTTGAAGATAAAACTAATTTTGACAAAGAAGATATACCTTTCACCCACCACTTCATACGATTTGAATTACTAATACTATCAGTATATTAAACATAGTTAATATCTTAATTAAATAATACCCAAAAGGAATGATAGAAATATATGAATATGACTCTCTTTGTCTCAAGTCTTGTGAAAAAAAAAACTTCTGGAATAATAAATACAGAGTTACTCTGCATTTTCAGATATATTAATTTATCAAAAAATGAGGATTTTTGCAGTTTGAAGTTACCAGGACTTTACTTCTTGTTCCAGCATGCAATTTTAAAACTTACCATTTCACTTTCCAGAAATAAGAAAATGTAACATGAAAAAGAGTTGACAGAAATTAATTACAATGACAGGTAACAATCAATGATAGGGAATATGCATTCGTGGAGCATGAATTTACCAACAATATTAATTCATCTTTTATTTACACTATATTATTAAAAATACGTTCATTCAGTTGTGAAATTTGACTTGTTTATTTTTATGTAATAACGTCAAGAACTTCATTAAAGAAACCAAGAAAGGTCTCTGTTAAGCCCAGAAACGCCATTCCCAACATACTTTAAACACTTTTTGATATTGTATCACATTTATAACCTTGGGAAATCATCAATTTCAATTTTCAATATTAATATTAAAATATTTACAAACAAAGAGTCCATACTACTGAGATTCTCAAGGAGCTTGTTTTGCAACACCATTCATATATTTTGCTTGTTGAAGGCCTTGGTAATATCCTACAAAAAAGAAAATCATACATTTAGACATTTATATTCGTAATTAAAAATCTAATGTGTGAAACATTAATGTAATATTTACCTGTATGGAAGCCACTCATGTACCACGACATTAACATAGCAGAGAGTGCTTCTGAGTCTCCTAATGGTAAGCTAGAGGTAACAGAAAGTGGAGGAGGTGGAGGAAGAGTAGTTGGCATCACATGTGGAGGAGCAGTCTGGAAAATAATAGAAACAGAATTATGTACTTGCTTCTTTAAAAATTAAACATGTTTTATCCATTATATCATCTGCTCTTTAATCAATTCCACAAACAACACATGTACAATCTCTTGTGCAATCTGGATGCTTGTGTACACACTCCTAAACCCTCTTACATAGACATGAACACATGCACATTTATGAACTAAAACAAAATAATTCCATATACCATGCTTGAAGACGACGCACGTCCAAAATAAGGTGAATGGTGCAAAGGAGGAAACTGTGATCCAAAATTTGTAATACATTCTTTAGCATAAGGTTTTTTGGATTCCGGAGTCCTCTTCTGAATGTTCTCTTTACCCAACAGATATCTTGATTGATGAATACTTTTATGCAAATTACCAGCTTCTGCATCTCCCTATACAAATTACAATATTGAATTGCTATCAAAACATTTTCCTGAAAACCCCTTTTATAATTTTAATCCTACAACGGTATTGGCAACATATAAGCAACTCTGGCTCTCGCCAACGGCTGTGGTATGTTATGTAACTTGCTATGAAGCAATCACCTTGCAAGGATTTGTTTACATTCTCACAGCTGGGGTTCAGAGTTGCTGTTCATTTGACTAGCACAAGTCACAGAGGCAATAAGGTTCGGCTTTAGTGAAGGTTATGAACATGATATCAAGACGTGTCATCACCTGTCGGCAAGTGTTAATGTTTTGAGATTTCATTTATCTGTCATGTAGGTGGTGCCTTTTTGTAAAGTAATGTGTGGCAAAAAGGGCATTGAACTGTCAGTCGCCTATATGCTACCAATACTGTAGGAAAGACTGTTGAAGGTTGAGTCAAATGACTTCAGGACGTTTTTTCATTTATTGTTTACAACATTTAGTGATCTTTATGTGCACCTCATCTGGTAACAACTGTTGAATGATTTAACACAAGATTACGAATAATATCTAAAACAATTACAGATGATTACAGACAGAGGTAAAAAATTACAAACACACATACTTATGAAAGAATCAGAAACATAAATTAGAACAAATGAAATTTGTCAATGGTTGCATTAGTACTAGGGAATGTGCAATGAGCGAGGTCATGGAACAATTTGCATCCTCATGAAGAGACAACTTTCCCAGAAATTACATATATGTGAAGTCACATTACAGAATTCACAATGTGAGGTAATAAATGCGTTGCTATTGTTTTGGACATATACTGCTATCAAGTGTAACCCTTTCAACATTTGTTACCAGATGAGGTGGTTTTAAGTTCTCAAAGCATTGTTACTAATAAATGGAATTACAGCATAACTTTCCCCAAAGTCATTTGACTCAACCATCTACTGTCTTTCCTGGTACTATTAAAATAAAGAATTACATAAATTAGAACCACACAACTCAGAAAAGGAAGGAAATAGATGATCTACAAACAAAACTGATCATTACAAAAATTTCAAAATCATTATTTTCCTTAAAATATACACTAATGGCCAAATTTCAAAACTACACAAGTCACTCTTGAGTAACTTTACCGAGTGTATAAAACATTTCATTTCAACAAATGCAAGTTCCTCCTTGTTCTCCTGCTAATAATGCTTCTCCTGAAAAGTTTTAAAATATATTGTTTGTGCCTTTATTTTTTTAAATAAACTGGAACTTTTAACAGATGATAAACAATTGTTTAGAAACTCGGAACACTAATAAATGTGATTTTCCATGAAAAATGAGAATTACTAGGCCTTAAAACTTTACCATTAATATAGAGGATTTCTCAATGACATCAATAAGTTTCAAGAGAGTGGCAGGTTGATTTTGGCAAGGTGAAATTCAAACACAGAAATGGAAATTTTTATGCTACTACCTTCTCTTGTTATTTAAGGAACTAGTTTGTTCTTTAATTAATTAATTTATTTATTTATTTATTGGAGTTTAAGGGCCCTTCAATTACTAAGGCCATTAAAGCCTTGAGTGATGATCAAATGAGAAGATGATACAAATGTTGCGGAGGGAGCAATGGCAGACTGACAAGCACAGGAGACCCCCAAGCAAAACTGCCGAGAGCTAGCTTGTCCACTAGAAATTCTACATGAATCAACCTGGACCCCTACTATAGAAGATGTAAGGAAAGAAACTGCAGAGAACTATCATTACTGTGATTATCATTCATAAATTCGATCTTGAGCTTTCCAAATGCTATATTTTAATTAAATTGCAAACTCTTCAGGATTGGAGAAAATCCTACGATTTCATTTTCCTTTATAAAATACTACATGGCCTCGTCAATTGTCCTTAATTTCTTTCTGTTATCTTTCTTCACATTCCTCAGATTATAACGAGAAATCCTAGCAGCTTCTGGGTGGATATATCTTTTACTAACTACAGCTATTATGATATCTTCAATAGATTACCTAGAAACGGCAATTACTATGCCAGATTTTTTTCAATCATGGCTTTTTGGAACCCAAAAATGGTAAATTTGGGCTTATTTATGACATGTTCAAGTGGTCAACTTTTTCTTAGAACATCCTGTTCCTTGAGTTTCTTTGGCCTTTAATTTCAGGCAGTGAAACAGTTTCCTAAAACAGTGCGTTTGGATTTGGCTGACGGTTTTTACCATGTTCCCATACATCATGTCACCAGGAAAGTCTTAGGAATTTCTTGTGGAAAACTTAGGTTTGTTTTTCGTGCCTTTCTAATGGTTGATGTGATGCAAACGGCTATGAGATCAGATGTTAAACAATTCATCACCCTAGACCCCCAATATTTGCATGCCACCATTAAATATTGCCTACTTCTATTAAAATTGTACTCCCAATATTAACAACTTCTATTAAAATTGTACTCCCAATATTAACAACTTCTTATGACAAAGGAAAAAACAGGTGATGATACAAATAATACATTTGAAAATACTGTGCATACATTATAAAATAAGGTAATACCTTTATTTTTCTCAAACGGATAGTAACAATATATACAAACCTTCTTTTGAAACATGGCTAGCTCGGTATATTAAAAATGTTTGAGATGTCACAAAAACTGAACTTTCTGCAATAAACTTGACTTTCTGATTGAAAATAGGCAATGTTAATAACGGAAATTATCAATAAGTACGATATCTCAATGGTCACACCTAAAGAAGAGTTATTCCAGAATATAACATCCAAATGTTTCAATGTTCAACAAATATAAGAGTTAAATTAAGTTACTTTTTTAATCAGATCAAATGCTGGATAACATCAAAATACTTTTAAACATAAAAGAATTATTGAGATAATGTAACACATAGCATGATTTCCAGACTTCTCTTTGTTTTCCTAGCTCACTCTCAACTATTGTCAACCCTGATTTTTCAACATGCATTTCATTTATAGCCCAAACAAAAGTAATAATAGTTATTAATGCACCAAGGGTGCTTTACGGGTTCTAATGATTAAGCGGCAACAAAAGCCAGAGGGCTTTTTGTCACCAGAGATTCTAATGATCAGTTAATGCCCATGGTACATACAATATTTTATTTTTTACCTAATTTTAAATATTAAGATTTATGTATTTTCAAATTTGTTATCTTGACTCTGTTTGTCTTTTCATATTTTCCTTCCCATAAGAGAACGTGAGTATTATTTCAAAGTTTTCATATTTCCCTTGGAACCATGATCCTCTCCATCCGGCTAGGTTATGCAGGGTACATCAAGAGACATATCGAAAGCAATAACAAGCAATAATGTACCAGTAAAAAATAAATATATTTTTTTACCTCATTTGTATCATATGCAGATTCTTTCTCTTGCTTAAGCCTGGCTTCAGGTCCTTCTGAAACCATTAACTGAGATAGAAGAACTTCTTCTTCATTCTCATAACCTGTAACAAACAGAAACTGATAACTGAAGAAAAATGGCAAAATTTCTGCAGTTATTTGCTATTAGAACAAAGCTACCTTACCAACATATCTAATAATGCAAGTGTTTCCATTTGATTTTATATGCTGTATAGTTGCTTCGTAAACGTTCCCATCTTCACTGTATACTGCACGGCAAGCTGCTCCAACCTGCCACTAAAAAACAAGAAATTTACTAACTTGATAGTTGTAATTATAGAGATAATTAATTAATTTAAAAAAATCAGTATAAACAAGTAATATATATGGGTAGTATATCCTACAGGTGTGGGATGAACTTTCACTAACATATCCTCAATGTAATTTTCAAATACTTACTTTGTTTATAAAAAACGTGGAAGGTATATTCTTTTACAAAAATGTAAGTTTTTAAAAAACAAAGGACAAAAATGAAAATCTTTCCCATTCAAAAATGGCTATTGTTTTCATTTCATCTCGAAAAAAAAAACAACAAAAAAAAAAACATATGATGGAGAGAACAGTTTTGACATTTGTACAATTTGATGGCAGATTTCTTATTAATGAAGGTACTTTAAAAGACTTTTTAGACCAAAAAAGGGGCTGAATAGGCACTTTATAAATGGCTTTACAGCTTTTCGATACTATGTATATAGTATTTTGCATATTTACAATCTAGAGCTTATAGAGGCAGAAAAATGTTACAAGTGACTCCTAAAATCACTTGTAATAGGTTACTTTTCAGAAAAGTCTCTAACTTGAAATTGAAGTAGCTGTTACAGGCAAAAATACCTAATGGCACATTTGTAAACTTTAGGATAATTGGATTTCACAAAATCCCAAGCGTTAAACAAGTTATTCCAAAAATTTGTTGTATTACCACAAATTGTTAAAAGTTTTCTACAAACTTTGCACTCCACAACATATCACACAAACTGACAAAATTAGGCTGATGAGAGTCAAAAAACATGAGTTGAAAATAGTGACCACACAGGAGTACTTGTTTCCCAGTTTTCCCTCAGCTGAGTTCATCTTTCCCACACAACCCTTGATCGATTGATTCTGGGTACATCAATTCTAAGGTCATTAGATCCATTAGTGGAGTGCAGATTCTTTCCTCAGGAGGTGGCAGTGATCCCCCCCCCTGCTAGATGGTTGAGATCTGGCACCAACCTCTGGTTGGCTCACGAGGTTTTCCCTAACCAGGTATCTCCCACCTGCAGGGCACTACCCCCAACTAGGATGAGCTCTCTGAACTCCTCATTAGTCTCGCAGCATGTGAGTGTACGTGTATAGTAAGGAGCGAGGAAGAAGAAGGAAAGATCACGCATGGTCCGTTGCCATTCTGTTAGGGTTCTGCTCTGACAATCGCCTGGTGTTGATTGGAGAAATCATGGAAAACTACCAACCAGAGCAGCTGGCCTGAATTCTTCTCCAGACAGTGACTGAACTCGATCTAAGAAGTTAGTGTCAAAAATCCTGTCACCGTAGGGACTTGAACCTAGAACCTCCCTGTCAGAGGCACTGCAGTGGCATCAATTGATGCTCTGATCCACACAACCTATCGTTTATTCTTACTACTGACCTCAACAATCTGATGTGAGAACAGAGGGACGACGAGCGTTATTTAAATACAATTCTTGAACATATGCTTAGATTTCTGTAGTCCGAGTATGATTTTCACTCTTATTATATAATGAATTACACTTATTTTGTTGTTAATGAAATGTTACTTGACATCAAGCAAAAACAGCCAATCAAACTGAAGTTGTGAAATGTGATTAAAAATCCAGTGAATAAGAGAAGAACATTCAAGAAGTATGTATAATATGCATGTATGAATGAGGCATGAATATTCAAAAATATACATAATAATAAAAATTCATGCAGAGAATAAAATTCTAGCATAAATATTACTTTTTTTCACATTTAAAACATTCCTAGTAAATTTATATGTTTTCAAGCTTACTATTTGCCCTGATGAATAGTTAAACCAATTGTAATCAATGGTATCAACTGATATATTAGGTCCATATACCAAAAATATATGCAACTTCTACATCCCATAAAGATTTTAAATGAACTGATTTTGTCTGGACAACAAATACCTGAAAATATTTTTTATTCTTATCAACATAATAATTTATGCTTAGAAAATAAATTTTGTTTGAAAAATTTTAGGCTTTGGTGAATAAGATCAAATTTATAAATGCTAAAATTTCACAAGCATTAAAAGTAATTTTGGATTTTTTACAAACTTTAGTAAAAAAGGGGCCATTTGGGGGGCATTGTTGTGAGATGAGATGACATTTTTTGAGGATGGCAGTGCTTCACAGACCACTTTGTGTAAAAATAATTTTGTGATAAAATTGCTAGATCTTAAAAATTAGGCATTCAACAAAGTTTTTACATGAGATGTAGGTTTTTCAAAAGATAAAATTTAACAAATGACATAAGTTTTGAGTCATTTTCTTTAATTTTGTTGAAATAAATGTGTAGATTAAAAATTGAAAATATACTGTGTCAATTGTCTAAGCTAATTATAAGATAAATGTAATAATTCACTATAAAAATATGTCAAATAAACAATTCGACATCTGCTCATGTTGTTGAGAACAGTTCTCTTCTTGGTAAGCAATATTTATCGAGTTAAAAGGGCACTGAAAATTTCTGATATACCCTGTGTAAAAATACAATTAGTTTTTCCTCCTCCTATCATATCATGTACAACATTATTGTTATCTTAGAACTCATTTTTCAATTTTCTAAAGATTCCTTTGAACGATCAAATGATATTTACAGTTTTCAAAACTATTCTCTAATTTCAATTCAAAAAAGTACTATACCAAAAAGCTGACCTCCAATTTTTTATTTTTTAAGCCTCCATTCTTCTTTGGAAACTTTCTACTAGCTTTGTCTCTGCCATCAGCATCATTGTATTCCAACCGTTGAGCTATTTTATCTTTAACTGCCTTCACTGCAACATCATAAGCCTTAATTAGGGCTGAATCATCCCAAACATCATCTTGATCACTGCCGTTGTCTTCATCCTATCACATTTTGAAAATATTCATTAACAATATTGGATTTTTTCTCAATATTTGAAGAATAAAGATTTCACACAAGGTAAACGCAGAAATTTACATTTCCGTTTCTCATGAATAACATTTCTTGATTCTCCATCGATGAAACTATGTTCACAAAAATAAAGTGCTGAAATCGGCTTGTGATTGTTATACGCCAATTCCCATGTGATTCACATATCAACTCACTGTCTATTCAAGTTGCTTCACATATTCCTTCTAAAATTAAGAATGTCGAACAATAAATGAGCCAAAAGAAAGCACTTTTCTTCAATACATCATAATACAGCAAGTTATAAAAAAACTAAGTTTACGCTATTAATTAAGACTACCGTGTAATCGGGGATCGTAAACGAATGTAATACACACACAGGACAACAAACCACGACAATGATTCGAATGTGTAGTCAATGACGTCAAAGAGTAGTCAAAGGGCATGTTCGTGCATGTTCCAAGCGAAACTTGCTGAACAATTGACAATGTTCTAATGTCAAGATCACGCCATTTCGAGAGCTTGTGAGAGCACCACCGCCGCAGTATAATGTTATACTGTGCCAACACGAAGTATAAAAACAAATAAATAAATGTCTATTGGTGGTGAGGCTTAAGCCATTTAGCCTGCTCTTCCACTCTCAAAAAAATACAATAGTTAATGAAAAGAAGGTGATCAAAGAGAAATACGTACGTAATTTGGTTGAGGGGGTTGGCACAGACTTTCCCGTATTCTTTTTCTATTTCTTTTGGTCCCGGCTAAGCTACTCGGACGTGCCACATAACTTACAACGACAAATAAAATAATAATAATAATAATAATAATAATAATATTATTATTATTATTATTATTATTATTATTATTATTATTATTATTATTATTATTAATATTGTTATTATTTTCGAAAAAACATTAGGTGTAATCGTTGTGATATATTTTACTTTTTGATAATTTCCATTATTAACATTGCGTATTTTCAATCAGAAAGTCAAGATCATTGCAGAAAGTTCAATCTTGGTTACATCTTAAACGTTTTTGATATACCGAGTTAGCCTTGTTTCAAAAGGTTTGTATATTTCGTTTCTATTACTTCAAAGAATAGAGCAAACTAATGTTAATGTCATCTCCTAAAGTACATTTAGCATTATCCCTACCAAAAGTTTACCGTGTTAATGTTAATGACGGACGGACGGACGGTCGGTCGGTCGGGAATTTGGAAAACGAGCTTTTCAGGAGACCCCAAAACGTGTATTTCCATTGAAATTTCGAAATCATTTTCCGCTGCAGTACGTAACTTTATCTATACTTAGTATATTACTCCATATATGAATATGTATGTACGTAAACGAGGATGTAACTAGTGCTACAGAATGGCACTAGCTTTCTCGTAGAAATCCAATACCTTCACTAATCGGAAACTTAAAACAATTTAAACCGATAAACGCAAAATATAGCGTCATCCTTAACTGTGAACCGCTATCATTCTTTTCTTACATTTCTCAACCACTAACTTATAGCGTATTCTTTTTAGGCAATTTAAATATTGACGTAGGTACGAGATGAAATGCAATATTTTTCGTTCGGAACCAAAAATATACGAATCCATTTCACGTAAGTGAAGCCTGCACAACGTCTACTCCCGCATTCTGCACTTACGAGCCGACCGTCTGCGAGAGCCGAAAGTGCAAGTAGGGGTAGGAAGCTTTGTGGGAGGAGAGACTGGCGTTGCAGGACGCGGCGCGTGGATTGAATGTCTGGGCATCTAATGCTATGAAATCATTTCCCCACTTATTTAAATAGATGATGTCCCTTATTTTAAGCTACAAGGACCGTAATTCACTGTTTACGTTCTTCTGTACACTGCTACGCATCCACCTTTGTAATCACAACTGTATGTAATTTTTTTTAGTTGATGCTTATTGTGACTCTTAAGCAATATTTTAAAGCAGTGGCATTTTTAAAACTTTGTTTAATTCTAACTAAACTTTACAATTTAATAATAGACTGTTCACCCAGAATGTTATAATTTCCAAATGATAGCAAAATGAAGAAAATTATGAGAGAAATCCCCACATCAAGATAGACGTAAAAATGGTATATATGCAATTGCAAGAAGGGTAATGTCGTACAGTACATACATTTGTGACCATCTTCCTCCATGATCTGAAGATATCAACGGGCAAACCTTTCTGATAATATGTCATGGGCAGTCATGAGATTAGCATGGGTCTTGTTAAATAGAATGCAAATGGATTAATATTTTTATACCATGTCGTAAATGATGAGTAAATAGTGATTGTTGATTTGATATGAGAAAAATATAATGAACTCTAGTAAGAAATTAGAGCAGAAAATAATAATGATATTTTTGAAGAGTAAGCTTTTTTAGCTTTGAGAGAACTGTCTTATTCAATTAAACATAGTTAATGAAAAAATAGTTTTCTTTCATTATCAATCAATATCCATGCAGAATCGCAATTTTGTGTTTAGCAAAACACTATATTTGTGATTGCATCGCAGAAAAGCAAATTAAATTATCACATCTAATAGCAATTACAATATTTGATGTCCAAATCAAATATGTGTAATTCGTTGTAGTTTCATATTCCACATTGTCATACATCGCCAACAAACATTTCCAATATTATACAAAACATATATGTTACGTGAACGGTACGTGGAACTAATTGGTGGTCCCCACTTCAAGAAATTGCCTCATCCCCTCCCATCAAATTTCTCCGCGTTTGCCCTCTAGTGGCTCGCGCGCGGCTCTCGAGGACAGACAAAGTGCAAAATGTTGTGCAGGCCCCACGAAATAGTGCTTCATGACGACACATACCACACTGCATTTTTCTAACAATATTCCGCACATAAAAATTCAACCACGCAAAATGTGGTTGATACATGATCTCATGGTACATTTAGCCCTATTCGTACAAACATTTTTAAAAAAGGGGAAAATGGAGCCATTTTTGAGATAATCTTGTTTTTTCTGTTTTTTAACGTTGCTGATATATCAATAGAAATTGTTCGAAAACTTGAAATATTCGAAAAAAGTGTTGACGATCGCATTGAAAGAAGTAATTAATGGAAAAAATCTCAATCTTCAATTTTGTATTGGTAGGAAAGAGACGAAAAATTTTCAAACTTGACATTTTCGAAAATTTAGAGTTAACAGTGAAAATAGCACCTACTCCGCCTTTAGAAGTGTATTTACTCTATTCTTACGAAGAACTTAAAAAATGGAGTCACTTTTAGAAATTTTTGAAAATGTCCCTGGGGCTTTATGTATAGTACCCTCAAATTTTAAAGAATGTTTTTCAAAATCGCAAAGCTTCGAGTGGAGCTAGATCTACCTGGGAATAACCATTTTGGAAAAAATCATATTTATTGTTTAGGTGCTAGTGGTCTTCACCGGCGGGCAGACGGACGGACGTTTAAAAAACTGTTTCGGTATTAAGGACTCGCAAATCATGAAACCTGACTAAATAACATATCGGAGGAAGTAATTTAATACGAATTAAAACATGAATTATCCACTTTTTCTGCATCAGAGCCTCACAATTTGAGTTTCTCTGTCGAAAAATTACATTTTTTGCCGCAGCAAATACTTTCTTCGTATTACTCCACGTATATACGTATGTTTACGAGAAAGTCAAAGCAACATCCTATTACAGAAAATTCTATATATGAATCCCCCCTCCGTCTCCGTCTCTTCAGGAATATAGACCCAGACACCAGGGGCGGATCCAGAGACGAATTTTGGGAGTGGAAATTCAAAATGTTTTGGTCGAAGGTGTCATATTGCGGATTTTGTAAAGTGTCGTAACTACTTTAGCTCAAGCTGCCATACGATTACATTCATTTTAAAGATTATCCGAAAATATTTTTTCTCGGGATTCAGGTCCCATTGGGCGCTCTTCCAGTCACTGAACACGCCAAAATGCCATGCGGCGCCTTTGTTTACGAGAAAGTAAAATCCACTCGAAGCCAATTGGGGTTAACTGACAGCTGACAGCTGTCTGACAGTCAGCTGACCTGCAGCGCGCATGGGTGCACGGTATCGCACGGGACTCTCTGTAACTGTTATAAAAGACTGTGAACATACTTTGATATAATACTTGACGTGTCTACCCTTTTCATGAATAAAATTCATTCAATACATGCTAATGATACACTATTTAATTCGTCTCTTTGCTTTCTTAATTAATGATGTTTCTGAAATCTGCGTTTTTTAGAGTACAGCGTCGGTACGATGTGAATACTGATTTGTCAGATGTAATATTAATTTTCGCACCTGGTAATGGAATCATCCTATCATCGGTCACTGTCGATATTTTTTTGAAGATGAAAATGCTTGTACCTGACAAGACTAGTTAGTAAATAAGTGCCACTTCTTTAGAGCTTCGATGATATACTTGATGAAATACTTGTGTAATGATGAATAACGAATTTCCTGTGACTGATGAATGATAGTTTGGACAATGAAGCACGCTCTTGAGGACGAGGTGCCCACACAGCAGAAACGACCATGTAGTGACTGTGAATATTCACGGTTTTACGATAACGCGCAGAATTTCGAGGTTAAGAGACCGGGTATCACAGGAAAATTTATTGAAATTGAGCGCTTACTTTCCGAGCGTCTCTTAGAACTTTCGTACTCGCATCCCGTAACTTATGTTTATAACCCAATTGATTATGCATTTACGGTACACTCAACATTTGTTAATAAGTTTTGTGAATCCGAAAAAAAGATAATGTTTCTTGGAATGAATCCTGGACCTTGGGGAATGTCTCAGACTGGTGTAAGAAAACATTTTAACCTGGAAAGAGATTATTATTTTTTGAAAATTAGTCCTTTTTTTATTGTTTGTTTTGTTTTTGGCAAAGAAATAAGTGAATGACATTTGTCATAAATGTCATTTTCTAATTATACTAAATAATTTATTAACACATATAGTAGGATATTAGTAATTATAAATAAAAAAATATAGATAAGCAAATGCAATCATTAGTAAAAAAATATATATTTCTGCAAGTAATGTTGCGCATTTTAGTTGGATATTATTACCTATATGATTCTTGTGAAAGTGGATTTCAAAACCCAGTAATTAAATTTTTTTTTAATCCTAGCTGTTAAAAAATTATGAAATTATTAGAACATTTTTTTTGTCTTATTGCGAGGTCTGTGCCACTCAAATGTCATAACTATTCAATATTTTTATCATGGTATATTCCCCCATGTTATCATTTAAGGAACTTAACTGAATCAGTCAAATATGTCCATTCTATTCAATACAACACTATTACCTTTTTAAGTACAGCAATTTAAACTAGAGCATACAATTTAAGAATTTTTTTAAAACAAACTTTTGGCAGTTATACATTTTCTTTGTAAGTCTTTTAGTTTTGTCTAACATCATCATATTTTTTGTAAACAAGAAGACCACAGAAGTTTGTTGAATTGGCTTTCTTATTTATTGTTTCTGATTGTATATATTTTAATAAATATTAATAATATATTTTTATCCATTGACATTTGATTGCCTATGGTGCACCTTGATAAAATTAATCTCATATTTTCTTGTTCAATGTCACATATTTTTAACTATATCTAGTTCAAATAAATAAGTAATTTAAAATAAAACATAGCTTTTCTCTCAAATGTGAAGTTCAGGTAAATACATAGAAACTTATAATTTTAATTTTGTCTGGTGCTAAGTTCTTCACAGATTATATGTAATTTTAATGCTCAAAATAACCATAAAATATTAATCAATTTCTTTTGTCTTTTAGGTACCATTTGGTGAAGTAAATATTGTAAGGGAGTGGCTAGGAATCACTGGAGAAGTAGGGCGACCCAAGAAAGAAAATCCTGCTAGACCTGTTTTAGGTTTTGCTTGTTCACGAAGTGAAATTAGTGGCCAAAGATTTTGGGGTCTATTTAAAGATTTATGTGGAGAAGCAAGGAATTTTTTTGAAAACACATTGATTTATAATCATTGTCCAGTTGCTTTTATGACAGAAAGTGGAAAAAATATTACTCCAAATGAGTTGAAGGTATGCTGTTCTGAAGTCTGGCTTTGTGAGTGTTTTGTAGAAAATAAATGAAATGTTAAAAATAATATTTAACTTTATATTGTCTTCAATATTCATTTTTGTACAGAGTGAGAATATATTATATTTAAACATGTATACTTAGTCATTAATGACACCTTTGTTATTGTTTGAATTCCTTAGGAATTCTGTATCTTCATCTGAGGGGTATTTGTCTTAATTTTAAAGTGATTAAAAAATGGAATTTGGAAGTAAAGATTGGAAAGAATTTTACTTTTAGCTTGTATATTATTGCACTAACAAGCATTAATTAATGAAATATTGTTTGACTGTAGCCATTTCAGATTTGATTTTGGATTTTAAGTAGAAAACAATTGCTAACAATGTTTATTCTTCTTTTGGAAAGGTTATTTTTGAGTGAAGTGAAGAAATACATTTAGAGGCTAGTCAATTTTTATTAGTAAAAATTTGATTACATTACTTTACAAGACTAACTATGGAGTAAAACACGTGATCTTAAGCTATGTAGTAAACAGCTTCTCTTAGGTGAAAACTATTCTTCTGTAATATGACAATTTTTGAGATGTCACTTTTATTTTGAAGTATCAATGATATAATTCACTGTGTTGATATTTAAGTGTATGTTAGGTATTGATAGTTACAGGAAAGAAAGGCTGTAACTGTTCTGTGTGATAAAGCTCTCTTTGAGATCATTGTACTCTATAATGTATCAATTGTAATTGCAATTGGGAGATTTGCTGAAAAGAGAGCAACAACCATTTTGAAAAGTGCAAATAAGAATGATGTGAAAGTAAGTTTTAATAAATATATTTGCCTTCTATGTATTACTTACTCAAGTGTCTTTTCGTTGTTTTATATTACATAGATAATCCTTTGAACTTAATTGTATAATTTGTTGATAGGTTATTTGCATTCCTCATCCCAGTCCTAGAAATTTCGGTACTGCAGAGAAATGGAGAGAAATTGTAATAGGAGAACTTGAAAAAAATGCCTTGATGCAGTATTTCAAGAGGTGAGCATACTACATTTTTCTAGAATTGTAGAACTGATAAAAATTTGAACTAATGTTGATACAATAGATTTCTTTTTGCCATTAATAAAGAGATTATAAGTAAAAGCTGAAAGATATCATGGACATTTAAAAGTTGTTTTCTGTAACAATGTGGAACTTCAATATTACAATTTTTTCTGTAGCTTACATTGTGAACTAGTGTATCTTATGTGTATTACACATTTTTATATTTCCAAAAGCTTATGCCTTTGCCAAAAATTAAGTTAATAGCTCATATTTGTTCCAGTTCATGTATGAGCTAAATTGAGATTCAAGTAAATTATATGCTGTCAGAGGTGCTATCTGGATTTTCCTACTGGGGCAGCTTTGAGAATAGTGTCCAGTTGACTTAATGTTTTCATAGAAAGATGTTTTCATTTATGGTAAATTTAAAATTAGTAAAAGCTGTATTTGGAATATGTATCATCAAGGAGGCAGGGAGGGCTGAACCTCTATGTGTGCCACTGTATACAGTAGAACCTCATTTATGGGGAGTAATGACTGGGAAAAGGGTCCACTGAAAATCAAAAATCTACATTAATTAGTATTTTTTTATTTGTTTAAATGTATCAATTTAAAGGGAGATTAAAATGATGAAATGAGTTAAAAAATAATAATCCCTTTGCATGTACCTAATACATTAAGGAAATATGGCTTTGCGTCATTTACTAGGAAGTAGGAGGATTAGGATGCTGTTTCGATGCAGTTTTCCATTTCAAATAAACAGCTCTGCACTCTACTGAAAATAAATAATGTGCCATTGACTGATGTTAAAGTAACAAAATTTTTAGCTCTTTCAATTCAGTCAAACCTTACATAGATCGTCCATTTAAATGAATTGAACACTAAATTAAGTTCTTTATGCTATGCTTTCAGAATTCTTTCAAATTCAGTGAGCCTCTATACTGCTCATGTATATTTCGCAAATGTTCATTCCCACCCGAGATATGGCAAAATATTTTGGGGAAATACTTCTTGTAGCTCCCAGACTTAAATTACAAAAACGAATTGTACAAATAATAAGCAAATCCCACCCATGTGATTCTTATAAACCTCTATTTATTAATCTAGGTGTTTTACCATTACCTTGTCTTTTCATATATGAATCAGTGGTTTTTTGTAAAAAATGACTTACTTAAGGGTGGGAATATATTTTCAGCAAACGTCGATGTGTATAACTATGACACTCGACATAGTAATAATTTTCATCAGGTGAAAGTATCAACAGCTCGCTAGAAAAAATTCACATATAATACATGTACGTTATATTACAAAACCTTGCCAGATGACATTAAACGATTAAATTCAATACATGACCCAACTGCACAAGTACTGCACAACTGTTTTTATACGATTAGAGACTACATTGAGCATCCAAAAGGAATGTAATATTAATATTAACAATGACATTGAATGTATAATTTACCATTTGTATTGTAAAATTCTAAAGAACCTGTAACAAGTATTATACTTCAGCTTCTGGGTAAATGACCCCTATCTCAATCAGTTTTCTGTCCAGTTTCCCTGATCCATGAGCAAATGCTGAGATGGCCCCTTGTTTTGCTTCTGGACATAAATATAACTTCAAATTAACTTTCCCTCACAGCATGTCACACACAGCTTTTAACTGTTTTGTTGACGTAAATAAAGAAATAAAACTAACAGCAGTACAATGCTCTGTAAGTGTGCTAAGGAAATGGTATCCCTCTAGTCCTCCATGAAAGTGAGTTAAGAAGAAAAACATAGAAGACCATAGATTATGATGAAGCTGCGGATTTACAGGCACGAAAAACTATAGAAAGAGGCATTTAAAAGTGTACAATAGGCATTTAAAAAGGCACTATGTATTTTTATTACCCTTATTAATATTCTTGTGTAGAAAGTTTATGAAATAAAAATAATATAGTTACCTTAATGGAATGTTAGCTTTCATCATTGTTTTGACAAATTCTCGTAGAAATTCTTTCATTGTTGGGCAATTCCGAGAAAATGACATTTAATTTAAACATAAGTGAAAATATGTAAAATTTGTTTTAATTGCCATGCATAATGCAAATGTGGTAACTAGTGGTAGGAATTATTACAGCACATACTTTCTTGCAATTATGACACACCAGAGCCCAAAGATTTGAAGATTTTCATCAGTAACCTTACGAGTGTCTCAAAAATAAATGCGGTTTTCAAACGATTAATTCCTAATAAAAAAAGCTTTCTTGTGTTCTTGCAAAATTCAGAAAATTCAATGAGACGTGCACATTCTTTTAAGTGTCTTTTGTGCTATCCATGAGAAAAATTGAAATATGACCTTTTTTAAAGATCTGGTTTTAATACCATATTTCATTTAAGGCCAAATCTCTGTATTCAGTATTGTACTTTTTGAAATATCACAAAATACAGGGTTCGGGAAAACCCAATTTTTATAATGTTCTTTGATACATACGAGGAGAGAATTTTAAGAAAAAATTTGGATTGGTTTTTGAGTAAAAAATTATTTAAAAATTCCAAATAAAAAATTCAGCGATTCTGCAAGAATTTCATAATACAAAATATCCGCGCTGTGGCTATGTGAAATGGAACATGGATAGTTGCTCAATTTCTCTGTAGGTTAAAATCTGTAGGATAAAACCAAAAAAACCTACAATTTTTAATTTTTTCATTAAGGATAATTGCATTTTGATTAATAAATATGAGTACAGACAACATTTAGGTATTCAAACACAAAATAGACATTTATTAGTGAAATAGGTATTTATAGGCACTAATTTTCTCAGATAATATTACTAAAGCCCCAAAATAAATAAGTAACCTAAAATATTGTGTTTTCTATTGAAGGAAAAAAAAATAGGCAAAAATCTGCAGCTGAATTATGATATACAGACAATAGCAGGTGCACACACAACCTGGAACAAACATTACCCTGCAACACTTTTTACAAGCACATGTTACCAGGCATGCTCACTGCGTTAATATTACTACATCCTTTAACTATTTCCTGTATATATCCAGTTGCTCCCATTACTTGAACTACTATTCTTAAAAATAAATAGCCTCTATTATTTGTAGAAGAATAGTTTTTGGTTGTTGTTATTTTGTGTTTTATTTAGTACTTGTTTTCTAATATGTGTTCTATTTTTCATCATATCTATCAATTCAAAAATCTTTTTTTTTCTTCTTTGCTCTTTCAGTTTTTGATTGATCTCTTGATGAATTCTGCCCATTTACACTTAACTACACACAATATGGAGCACAAAGATAATTAATAATCAATTTACCAACTGACAAATATTAAGTTCTTAGAAAAGAATGCATGTACTTTCATTAGATTTCATCTAGTACTGGTACTCTCATCAATCTTCCATCTTCCCACTTGTTTTCAATTGTGAATATCTCTTGGACTTGTCACGTTTTATGTGATTCCAACTATTTTAAAAGAAACTTCATCTTTTGATCTAAAAGACGGCATCATAATGTGAATTCATAAAAATTGGACTTTCATTCTTATTCACCCCCACATTTTTATTTGTTTGTTTTTAATTGTTTTTGTTTTTGAAATAAATAACTATATGTGAAAAAGGAGAGCTAAACCTTCTTGATTAATTTGTAAAATATTGACTCAAAATTTTGAGTGTATGTATCTTTTATTTTGTGATTATTTTATTGCTTTGTGCATTGTTGTATTTCTGTTTCACTGTAATTATTTGGCTTTGCAGATCTACTGACATTACAAATTTAACAACTTCAGAAATGCTTCCTGGTTCTTCATCTGGGCATGGAACAAAACAAGTTGAGGACTCTTCTGTCACATAGATTTTAAGTGAAGGTGAAGTGAAACCTATTTATAAATCAATTTAATTTGGCAAAATGAGTGAATGAAGAGGTTTGATCAAAAATAATGTTTATTAGCTGCTGATTTTAACAGATCCTAAACTGTCTTTGAAAATGAACAGGAATTATAGCAATGCCTGAAATATTGATTATTATTGAGTTTTTTTGGAACCTGAATAATACTGGGAATAATTTTAAGTTTTACTAGAAATTTAAGTTGGTGATTGAATACATCTTATTATGATTCTTTTATTTGAATTAAAATGCAAATATTTAATTGATAAAAGTAAAAAAGTGAGTGATTTTTTTTGTATTAAATGATTAAAGTTGATTGCAATGATAGATGCAGTGATGAAAATAATACAAGTTGAATTGAGACCTCTTATTATTTATTCTGTGTGCAATAATAAAAGAGCAAATCTATGTTTCCAGAGTGATATCAAACGTATTAATACTAGTGATTCATAAATGTAACTAAATTCATTTATGTAAAGGGAATTTATGTTATTTAAAAATGAAAAAGACATTATAATATTGTTTACTTTTTTAAAACAATATATTATTTATAACATATTTTGATACGTGCAATATATGTTGTGACTTCATGTTTATATGTACATTCAATTGCTCCTCGTAATTTGTAGACATGTATTATAGAAATTGTGAATTGAAAATATTTGAAATAATATAATTGAATAAAAATATTAAATAATTGAAAAAATATTCCCAAGTTTTACTTCCTTCCTATTGTATATTACAATTGAAAATAAATCATTGAACAAGGTTTTCACGCCTTTCAGAGCCACGTCTTTTTTCGCGGTAGAATACACCCGATATCTGGAAAATTCTAGCGGACGGCTAATCTGATTGGTAGTTTTCCGTGGTTTCTCCGATCAATTCCAGGCGAACGCCGGAGCAATACCCTAATAAACGGGCCACGGACTGTTTTCTATAATTCAGAAATGAAAATGACTATTTTTCAAATATCACTAATCTTACGATTTTTAAAATTTATTTATGTTAAACTTTTACTCACCTTTCAACTATTTATAGTTAAAATGACAGGAAGGGATTCTGGAACTCAAGAAAACGTGCGCAGATAATATTTTCCCCCTTACGTCACATACAGTTTTTACTGTTTTTTTTTGACTGGATAAATCTAAATCTAAACTTCTGAGATTAGTCCCACAAGTGCAGTGCATGTTATATCGCGGGAGGAGGCGGTGTTCCTTTGCTGCTGGAACATGAAATCCGCCTCAGGACCGAGTGCAAGTCGACTTGAGGGCTTTTCTCCACCAAGCATCTCTCCCATCGGCAGGGGCCGAGAGAAACCAGGGACAGTTGATTCAAAGGGAGCCCTGATTTTAATAATAAAAATAAATATAATAACAATAACAATAATAATAATAATAATAATAATAATAATAATAATAATAATAATAATAATAATAATAATAATAAATTCTTCCTTCCCCAATTCATAAACAGGAGACATTTCTCTATGAAAAAGAAATAATTTGCAACGTTATATTTGGATTAGAAATCAATAATTTTTTTGTTATTTAAGTTCGCAACAACTTCTAGGTCATTAGCGACCACTAGTGCGAGTAACGGTATGGTAACTATGAGGTTGACACGATATGGTGATGATAGGGGTGTGAAAGGACGAACACAATACAACCATGCCCGAGGCGGGACTCGAATCCGCGACCCTTCGGTCAGAGATCGTTACGGCACTACTGTCTTAGTGATCTCGGCCACCGGATAGGCAAATATAATTTTCATTACTTTTGAATAAAAGAAATTCGGGGCCCCAATTAAGTCGGGGCCGGAGGCAAGTTGCCCCTTCTGGACGCCCCTGCCCAAGAGGGTACCGCCCAGCTGAGGCAAACTTAAAGCTTCCTCAAAGACGAAACAAAGATGAAAGTGCGTGCGTGATTTGGGACCCGCTTGTTAGGATACTGCTCTCGCTTTCGCCTGCCTGATCGGAGGAGCCACAGAAAACGAAAACCCACAGTAGCTGGCCGCTAGAATTCTCCTCCAGACAATTGTTGAATTCGACCCAGCGATGTAACTAGCGTCGAAAGTCCGCTACCGTCGGAACGCCCGATGAACGAAGCTCAGACGACACGATGGTGTTGCCACGGAGCCAATTTATCCACGTGCGAGCGCACGTGACCATGAAAGGGAGAGTTGTGAGGTTGGGCGCAAGGCCAGGTGGAAGGCCCTGAGAGTGGACCGGTCGCGTTTCATCCTGAAAAACGCTGGGCGGCGCGCGGAATGTGCCATTGAGAAGTGCCCTCTCGCTTTCATTTGGAGACAAAACAAAACAAACACGCTGAGCGCCACGTTGATCGCATTACGCAAAGCACATATTGCTAGTAATGTCCAGGACCGAGCAACATCAGCGAAGCCGTAATATGTACTAGGGGAGGACCGCATTCCTTTCTTGGGGGAAGGGGGAAGTTGTAACACAGTTTTATTCTCTAATTAAATGATTTTATATTTAATTGAATCATTGGTGATTCCGGGTTCGTCAACTGCAACAGGTCCCGTAAGTGAAGTGCGTGGTTTTTACTCGGGAGGAGGGGACGTTCTTTCGGCTGAATGGCGAACTTCGGCGCCGATCTAACCGACGACTTGCGGGGTTTTGCCCAACTAGCGCCTCCTAAGAGCGAGGCATCATCCCAGCTGGGACAAGCTCTAAGCCCCCGAATGGGCTTCCGTCATGTGTGGAAGTATAGTGTAAGTGTAAAGGGGTGAGGGTAGGGCAAGAAAGGGGAAGGAGTGATTGTGCGCGGTCCGTGGTCCGTACTGTTCCGGCAGTCGTCTGGTGCTGATCGGAGAAAACACGGAAAATTACTGATTAGAGCAGCCAGCCGCTAAAATTCTCATGCAGACAGCAGGTGAATTCGACCTAACTATCGAAAATCCTGCCGCCGTCTGGACTTGAACCCCAGGACCTCCGTCATAGGCACTGCAGCGACATCAGTTGATGCCCTGAGCCACCTAAGCCAGTTTTATATAGGTATTGAATATTTTCTGTACAAATCTAAGATATTTCTGTCAACATTTTATTTCAAAGATATGTTGTGTGCTTTTATTCCATTAAAAAACAACTACAACATTAGTGAGGAAACTGGTACCTGACCTCTCTTCTCTATGGCCGGGTCAAACGATGCTGTCTTTCTCTAAGACTGTAGCTAGTAATTCAGCTTTTTCTTGAGGACTCATAAACTCCACGTTTATTTCGCTACGCCCATTTCGCAATGCAAATATTACGTTTATGCCTTACGTTGACTTTGTAGTGCAAAACTATTTAATCGATTATTTTGATTTTTTAAAAGGTAATTGCAAAAATGATGACTATCAAATGTAGATTTGAATTACAGGTCATTGTTTTGCATCCTGTGTCTGACCGGATGTGATGTCTCTTACGGTTAAACCACTTCCAGTCTGCCATTTCGGACAATCGAGGTGTTATTCGACGCGTCTCGGTGTACTCGGTGACCGTTTTCAGAACATTTCGAAAACGTTGCAGGAGAAGTAGCAAAACAACGTGTTTTGGGAGATTAAAAGCGTTATTCAGATTTGTGCATTGTTCTTTTTAAACGAGTAAAATGCATAACTTTTTTGATTTTGCCTCATTTACTCGAGGGGAAATGAAGCCCACTGATGTTAATTCACACTTTTGTACCTCCCTAATACAAAAAACAATTATTGTATTCAAGCTGATCCTAAGTGCCGAAAATGCTTCATTTTAAACTTCAAATAATTATTCAAGATTAGAATGTTGTTCTTTAAATTACTGTATTTCGGATTCTTTTCGTGAGTGTCAAATGTGTCAAATCTTGGAACGAGTTCAGCTAGTGATCCAACATTCCCTTCAAGAATTTTGAGTATTTTGTTTCTTAACTTTAATTAGCATACAATTCTAGCATATATTAAACCTCATATGTTTTCATATAAACGAGAAAAAACCCTACTATTTTGTCATTTGAAGTTGAGTTACTGGAAGCGTGGAAGAAAATACAGTTCATTAAAATTTTATGTGCAATGATGTTTCTGGGAACAAAGCTACCCGGATCAGAAAATTCGATTGTGTAGATTTATGACGGTGAATGATATTACTGGTCTTCACATTATTTACACATCGTTTTATATATTGAATATTGACCCGCACATTCGATTTTCACATCAATGGCATTCAAATATTCCATATGCTTGAATCGTTGGGTAGATAAAGAGTAAAAGCATGACCGCATCTGGGAAATAATTTTTTCAACCACTCAACGACCAATATGCTGCAAGAAAGTATTCAAATACTCTCTCTTCAAACACCATCGAGGTGGTGTTTTGGTTATTTGAGGACGAACGTGTATTCAAGATATTACTGTGGCGAAAGACGCAGAAACTTGCGTCTGAGAAGTCTACGTGTGTCTTGGTCTTGCATCTTGACTATAATATTGATAGTTCTTCACTATGACTATATAATAATGATAATTATTTAATCGTCGAGACTTCTTTGAAAAGGTACTGTACATTAATACATTCCGATATTATCTTAATTTTAGGATATTTTAGCGGTTAATAAGGTTTGGGTACAATAATATTAACATTTTCAATTCTAATAAATGTCTGAGACTATTTACAGCAATATGATATACTTTAATGAAGTGACAAAGTAAATGAGAACAAATTTGGTATCGCAGTAGTTGAAATTACAAAACGTAAGGAATAGCTGTAACGTAGTAAATCAACGGAGTCAATTCCAACATCTTATTGAGCTTAAGTGATAACAAGACAGAATGATTTAAAGACGAAAATATGAAATATAATATAATTATAATAATAAAACTAATATTAAAATAAACTATTTTTAGTAATTACAAGAATACTTGTTTACATCTCCATACTTAGAAAAATGTGAAAAGAAAAACTTTTATAAATAATAATTATGAAATACCAAGTCATTATCGAAATAATAATTAATATGAATAAAACCTCCAAGAGTAAAAAACTCATTTAGACATTTTCTTACATCTTTCATGAAATCACTTGCGCTTGAAGTGATTGTTTATAAGCTTTGAAAATTAACTATCCGTTCGCCTAACAAATAGAATAATTCTTACGAATTTTGTTTACTTTACTTTTATTTAGTTACTTTTCGAGTTATTCTTTATTTTATGACTTACTTGACACATTACATTCGAAATAAAAACTCAAAGGTGCTAAAACATTTTTTCGTAGCGATGAAATGTCTTAATATCGATAGTGAATAATAGTGAATAATGAATTTTCATTCAATCTTCGTAAATAATGATTTAAACCTCTCTACAATATTCTTTACAGCTGCAACTGATTGCCACAAATAGAGAAATTATTATTATTATTATTATTATTATTATTATTATTATTACTATTATTATTACTATTATTATTACTATAATTATTACTATTATCATTACTATTATTATTACTATAATTATTACTATTATCATTACTATTATCATTACTATTATTATTACTATTATTATTACTATTATTATTACTATTATTATTATTATTATTATTATTATTATTATTATTATTATTACCTGCGTATCGTCCATTCCTGACAATGCTACATGATTAACGTGTATCAGTTGTTAGAATCAGCCTTTCAGCTGTATCCTTCGGTAATACACGGTTGTTACGTCTTGAATCGTGAATTATAAGGTGATAG